CATGTCTCCATCTACACGCTCATAAATCTCACCCGGAAGTTGAGCAGCCATTTGTTAGCGCCGCTGCCATGGCCTCGGCGGTAGTAGAAGCCGGGCGCGGACCCGTCCAGGCACACTGCCAGTGCCACGTGGTCGGGGGAGGGATGAGGCGGAATGACACAGATTTACCATGAGCACGCGTAGTATTGGACGTGAGATGCGGTGTGATGGGTATGGACGACAGAGAACCAACGCACACGGCTTCTGACAAAACCAGTCGTTTTGAATGCTACAGCGTGGATGCCTGATTGCAACAACGATGCGCTCTGAATGCGGCTTCAGCGTTCTGATTGCTGGACCAGGGAGAGGGACGAAGCGAATCGTTTATTGATGGCCGCAAACTGATAAGTCTCAATCAACTCTTCCACTCCAAGCCCCCTCGTGTCTCACGCCGTCTCATGACTGGCACTAAAGCGCATCTCACTGCCTCGCACGCCATTATCTCACACCTTAGTCCCACTCCTCACCCGCGCCGTGCTTCTTTGCCTCTTCGACGATAAACAGCCGCAGTGTCCTTTCTCGCGCTGTTTCGTCCTCTACTACCGCACGACGCGCCGCTCCTGGCGGCGGCGTGACAACTGCGCGTCGTGAATTCGGGGTTCCACCGTCACGAATTGTGACTCTATCGGCGCCATCAGTGACGGTGATTCTACCAAATGTCGCGCTCGCGACGAGGAGCGATAGCAGAAGCGTGGTGAAGAATGGTATGTTCGACACCAATGAACTGCAAGGTACCATAGTTTCAATGCTTTCTAAGGTACTGACATCTGACCATTCAGGAGCGCTAGGAATTCGAGCAGGTACAGCATTAGGAATTGGAGCAGCTAGAACCTGGGATCCCCTGTGCTTTTTGCACTTCACCTCAGGGCGGCCCTCAAAAATTTCGGCAGCTCAAGCCCAAAAGGAGGTAATGTACACTTTATTAGGATTTGAATAAGCGCCACTCGTAAATACATTAGAAAGTGCAGACACCACTTCCAGCATGGAAGAAGGCCAAATCAGTTCAATCCGTTGCTTCTCCTTTGCCTTTACCTATCAGCTGAAAACAATTAGACGCTATGCCCTCCATCTAAACGAATTTGGCTTACCATCATGAGTGTGGTCTTGCTGCTACATGGTGGCTCTTTCTCTATACATGTTTGCTATGTGCATGCACAGTTGGATGTCCCTTCCGTCCCCCCACCCACCCCATCCCTGAAACATCGTCCACCGCTTCTCCTCCTCGCGTTCCACAACAGGAGCAGAGGCATTCACCATCATCCAATGGTCCTCATCCAACAACTGCACCTTCTCTATCCCATCCTCTCCTATACTACACCCCGCACTCTTCTCCTCCTTCTTGCCCTCCTCCCCATCCTTCTCGCTCCCTTCCCCACCACTCCCTTTCACAGCAGCAGCTGCACTAGTGTTACTCTTGCCCTGCGAGTCCCCCTGCCCTGAGTGCAGCCCACAGGACCCCACGTGGTGGGCGCTGGCGCGGGACCAGCGCAGCGACCACGAGGAGGGCAGGCGGCGCAGCACGGACGACCAGAGGGTCAGGTCCCAGTTGTAGTCGTCGTACAGGCAGAACGGCTGGGGGATGCGGGGTGTGGGGCGGTTGGCAGGGATAGGGTGGTTGAGTGGCAGAAATGGGGTGGGTAGTTGGCAGGGATAGGGTGACTGGCAGAGAAGAATCAGGGGTCCTTCATAGCAGAACAAAAAGCTAAGAGAGGATGGTGACTGAGAACAAACAAACCACTTGGCCTTATGATTGGGGCTCCGTCTCACCTTGGCCTGCGCGTGAATGAGCTCCCACACGCTGCGGTTGAACGCATACCCCACATTGCCCATGCGCTCCGCTGAAAACACCCCCGGCTCGTCGTCCTGTATGGAGACCACATCGGAGGGCGCGAGGTTGGCGGCGATGCAGTGGGGGCAGCGCGCGTGCTTGGCGTGGAGGAGCGCGCGCAGGTGGCGCAGGGCGTTGGGGAAGAGCAGATGGTCCTCCTCCACCCACACCACGTGCCCTCCATACCCCCGCGTCTCCTCCACGCCCCCCCACACCGCGTTCATCGCCCACCACCAGTGGTGCTGCTCACACGCGGACAGCCAAGGGATGCAGCAGGGGAGTGGTGAACATGGCATGGAGAGAGCGGTCGAGGGAGAAGGGATGACGGAGAGGAGGCAGAGTGAGCACGCAGAGCAGCCAATTAACCACCTCCGCTCACCTTGAGAGACAGCCTCCGCGGTTCCCTGAACGACCCGTATTGGTCCGCCTGCCCCGTACATTCTCCCCCTCCCGTGGCATCGTGCGCGCTCCCCTGGCAGTCGGCGGGGGAGGCGGCGGGGAAGGAGGCGCTGAAGAGGTGCGGAGAGAGCGGGAAGTAGAGCTGCTTGACGGCGCAGAACGTGATTCCGCGCACCAGCGCGTGCATCTCGGGGTAGTACCCGTCGTGGCTGCGCGGGGAAAGAGGAAGGGAGGGAGAAAATATCAGGGAAGGGGGGTATATGAGGGGAAAGGGGAAGGGGCGAACTTCAGGGGAAGGGGAAGGGCGAGAGTTCATGGGCGTGGGGAACGACATGTCCAAGGCGGAGCACAGTAAGCTGTTTGACGTGGGGAATGGTGGCGGAGCGGACGACGAGGCATAACCGCACCTGACGATGAGCAGCGTGTCTTGAATGCCTTCCACCTTGCTCAGCGCCTCCAGCGTGCGTCGCAGGTACGCCGGCCGGTTGTGCACCAGCAGCACCATCACCACATCCGAGTCGCTCAACCGTTTCTTCCGCGGGCCTCGCGATCCGGTTACGTTACTATCACTACTGCTACCAGCAGTAGCAGTGATACTGCTAGCGCGCTTCCCTCTCGCACGTCGCCGCACTTGCGCGCGAAGCTTCGCCAGCAGCCCCATCCCGCCGCCGCTCTTCTCCGCGTTTCCCGCCGCCACGGGCGCTCTCGCCGGCCGGCGATTCCACTCCTCGAGACGCCGAGAGAGCGGCGAAGAAGGCGGCCACGGCTCGTGCGGGTTCATGCGACGCCACGTGTCGAAGAACGATTGGGCTTCGCGTTCCTTCCTGACGTTTAACAGGTCCAGCAGTCTAGCACCCGCGCGATCGTAACTCTCCTCCGCCTTCAAATCCATTTTCTCCACCTCATCCCGCATCGACTTCAGCTTCTCCTCCATTTCTAAGTCTTCGCGATTCCGATCTTCCGTCGTGGCGCGAAACGTTGATCCTCCGCGAAATGCGGCGTTCAGCGCCGCGAATCCACTTCGGAACAGCTCCTGGTTGAGATTACCGGGAGGTTCGCGTCTACTAGAAACGAGCCACGTGCCATCTGCTACCGCCACGTCATCAGATTCTGCCAGCTCTATTCCTAGTTTCGGAGCGGAATAGCGAAACAAGGGCCATATTAGACGCGGCACGCGCGCGAGCCACCGGCGAGTTCGCAGCTTCGCTAACTTCTCGTCGATGATTCGCAACAAATCGCCTCGCCTCATCCACTCGTCTACAGTCTCGCGTGCGTCGCTCGTATCGCCACTTTCGTCGCTCATGTCGCCAGGATCCTCGGGTGAGTCAGAGTCCTTCGCGACAACCACTTCATTCGTCACAGGGGGGTTCCAAGCTTGCGGGAGGAAGCGAGCCGGGAGGAGAGTTACGCGGCATGGAAAAGCGCGAGCGCGAGGAGCGCTTGCGCGAGGAGCAGCAGGAGGAGGCACGAGGAGGTGCATGCGGGGGAAACATAGCGCCGATAGTGCCGCGGAGAGATGAGCCCGCCTAGGTTGTGCGCGTTAACGGAAGGATGAACGGCGATTAAAGGCCTAGCGAGAGCTGCCGTGCGAAGCGAGCCGAGTTGGCTGGGAATAAGGCGAGCAAGGAACGACATGAGTGGCGAGAGGATGCGCTGCTGCCAGCGCACGAGCTGTCTACTGAGCTTTCTAGTAAGCCAAGTCTTCAACAAAAGGCTTTTCGTAGAATATAAAATGGCTCGCGTTTGCTGCGTTGACGTGATGCTTGTTTGGTGGTCAGTGGTGTGATGGCAGCGAGCACCCAAGAGCAGCAGCAGGAACATTGGCTGGGAGTGACTGTTCGATGAAACGTGAAACAGGTCGCGGAGTGGAGAGAAATGGAGAGGAGTGGAGAGTGATAAAGGCTACATCACAGGGACTGGGGTGGGGAGGGGACATGACAGCCGCTTGAGTGACTGCCTGGCCGCCACACAATAACCCTCCCTGCTGAAATTTGTGTCTGCTCTGCTCGTTTTCTGTGAAACGCGCAGTTCGCCGTTGAATGCGATGTGACGGGATGACGCGACTCGAATTTCCTCAATCCGACGGCGTAGAGGAGATTGATGGCGACTGATTTCGGGACATATGCATTCCCGCGTGCTTTACAATCGGTGGGGGCGAAACGCGCGAACAGAGGCGCGATGATAGGCCTTCCAGTTGAACCGATATGTGCATTTTCTGATCATCCATGACACGCAGAATCTGTTTCGGAAAAAATGACACACATGGAACTCTCAAGAAGTGTACATCTTAGATATGTAAATGCATAACTTTATGTCACGCCCATCACCCCATCCACCCCAACCTCTAAAAGAGCTAGGCGTGATTTTGACACTCCTAGGAATCAACGGAGCTGAACCATTTATGGACATCCTTGTATCTTCAGTTGTAATTACAACCTCCTCACCATCATCATTATGATTCCACCAAGATTGGTTCTTTACGCAGTTGCTGGTCTTCTGCCCCCTGCCTGAGTGAAATCCACAATTGCCGAAGTGTCTTGCACTTGTTCTCGACCAGCGAATAGAAGAGGCATTCGGCAACCGCTTTAACACAGAGCCCGACATTGTAATATCCCAATTGTAATCATCGAAGTAGCAGAATGCCTGCGTGTGGAGTGGACACACAGAGAGGTGCTGAGTTTATACTAGCACCAGCAACAGAGACAAATCGTGAAGGATTGTGATACACGAGACTTCAAGAAGAGGGATCGCATACCTCTGCTTGTTTGTGAATCAAATCCCACACAGTGCGGTTGAAGCAGTACCCGATGTTCCCCATGGTCTCCACAGAGAACGACCGCGGCCCACTGTCCTGCCACTCATGCACGTCTGAGGGCGCGAGGTTGGCGGCGATGCAGTGGGGGCAGCGCGCGTGCTTGGCGTGGAGGAGCGCGCGCAGGTGGCGCAGGGCGTTGGGGAAGAGCAGATGGTCCTCCTCCACCCACACCACGTGCCCTCCATACCCCCGCGTCTCCTCCACGCCCCCCCACACCGCGTTCATCGCCCACCACCAGTGGTGCTGCAATGGGGTAAGGGAGTGGGGGGCAAACGAGGGAGAGAGAGCCTGTTAGGAAGCAGGTAACATCAAATACAGAATCGAAGCAGAGAATTGTGGTGACCAATCTCACCTTGAGAGATATTATCCGAGGGTCCCTGAACCTTCCAAACTGATCCGCCTGTCCACTGCAATTGCCTACCCACTCCTTCCCTACTTTCGGTCCCTCTCCTCCTCCTCCACCATCCACTTCGTCACCTTCTGCTTCCCCCCAAGCGGCCTCACTCCTAGGGAGCCGGCCTTGGCAGTCACTAGGGGAAGCTGCAGGGAAGGTGCCGTTGAAGAGGTGAGGGGAGAAGGGGAAGTAGATCTGCTTCACGGGGCAGAAGTCAATCGCCCTCACCATGACGTCCATCTTGGGGTAGTACCCATCATGGCTGCATGATGGAGAGAGGGAGCATGTGGGGAAGAAGATGAAGCATGTGGGGAAGAAGATAAGGCATGTGAGATGAGGCTGTAATGGAATGGCACAACAGCGGGAAATCCATGTGACACAGAGAGAAGCAGCATGCTCAGGAATAAATAAGTTTTATTCGAAGAAATGACTCGCACACACCTCACAATGACCACCTGCACTCACCTTACAATGAGCAATTGCATTCACCTTACAATGAGAATGACTAACACGCACCTTACAATGAGCAGCACATCTTGAATGCCTTCCACGCGTCGCATGGCTGCGAGCGTCCGTCTGAGATACGCGGGCCGGTTGTGCACCAACAGCACCATCACGATCTGATCGTCCCCAAGCCGCGTCTTGCTCCACGCTTGAGCGTCCTCTGCTCTTCGCTCATTGGCTGCGGAATCGTCACTCCGCCGGAACAGCTTGCGCGCGTCCCGGCTTGGTTTCCGCGGAATGCGCGGAGGCAGCTTATTCCTTTCGGCGAGGCCAGAGGAAATCGTATTCTGGGGCGGCCATGTCACCTGGGGGTTTGCGCGACGCCATGCATCGAAAAATGCATTTGACTCTTGCTGTTTCTGCTGCCTTTCGAAGTCTAGAAGCTTCATCTGAAGCGCGTCGAGCTCGGATTGGTTCACATTGGTCATGGCGGCGATAGCGGCGCGAACCTCTAAGAGAAACTCACGCTTCGCAGGCAGATCCACTGGTGCTACGGAAGCTGAACGAGTCTCATTAGCCATCAGCGGGTCTGCTTCGCGAGCAATGGAGGTATTCCCTCTTACTAGCGTCGCATGGTTTCCGTCAGCCCATGCGACAAATGCGACCTTTTGCGAACACGATTTTCCCGAGTCGTCGTGCCGCAGCTCGTCGTCGATGCGTCGCAGCATATCGCTGCGCGCTGTCGAGAGCACCTCGCGGCGTGCGAGCTCTTCCAGAGAGAAGAGCTGCGGGTTCATGAATGCGTCGACTGCTTGTGCCTCAGGGAATGCCGATCCGCCGCTTTCCTCCTCTACCTCTCTCGGCACGCTTCCCCCTTCCGTGAAATCCGAGGAATTCGAATCGCCGATATCGTATCGCGAAGGGAGAAAGACGAGGTCGTCTGTGGTCAAGTCAATCTTCGGGCGTAGTAACGCCGGGAGAGGAAGGAGGTTGAAGAAGAGAACGGCGATGACGGTGTGGACGACGAGAAGGCACGCGATCGCGTTTCGCGCAGCGGTGATGGTGCGATGGCTGCGGGGAACGAGCGACGCCAGATGAGCCACGGTAGCCATGGGACCCCCGTTTCACTACCATACCACAATGCTTGTACGCGAAACGAACCACGCTGGACTTGACACCACAGGCATACCCTAGATATTGGATAATGACATGACTTCAGCGAAACGGTGAAAAACAGGTGATTTGGCGAGTACTGCGGGCATCCCGTGGGGAAGTTCTGTACCAGACTTTCTGCTGTGGCTGGTGAATAGGAGAAAAGGGTGAAGTCGTGGAGGGATCGAGGCTGTGGGGAAATCAAGGTTGAGGAGCAGAGTCGAGGCTTGATGAATCAATGGAGGTTGTAGAAAAAGCGACGGGGGTAGGCAACAGGGCTTTTTGGGTTGCATAGCAACCCTGTATATTTGGTTTCACATTTTGGGGATATCGCTTCAAAAGTGATTTTCAAGCACTTTTTGAGGACCTGTTTGAACAGTGTTTTGACACCCTGTTCAAAAGAATACTGTACCTCAAATAGTGGATAAAAACCACTCATGAAGTTGACATCTAAAATGTGAAACCAAATACGACATATTGAAACCATGTATTTTTTTCGACCGTCCCAGCTCGTCGATTAATACGGCGGATGGTACGATCGAACATGGCATCAACATGAACCAAGGCAATTTTACAAATGCACAAGGTACATAAAGTGGGGTGTGTATGCTTCAAGGTGAATGTTATAATGTATCAATGTAGCAACGGAGATTGATGGGGTCGTTGAAACAGCGAAAACCCGCTGCCCCAACGACGATGACAACCTCAGTTGCATACACGATGCATTGTAACACCGCCCTTGAAACACACACATCTCACAGTCACAAAATGCAAACGCACAAAAATGTATAACATAACGTGAGGATGTGAACCAGGGCCTGTGCTATGATTTAGGGCACCCTGAGCCCTCAGGGCAACTTTTGAAAACTCTCCAAAATGCCCTGATTTTTCAGGGCAAAAATTCCTCGCAATCCTGAAGTTTCAGGGCACCAGCAGAAATTCATCCGGATGTTTCAGGGCAAAAGAATACAAGACACTAGAGTGGAGGGGAAGCCATGAGAGGAGCAGGTTGTTCAGTGGTTTCACTACAATGGGCTGAGCAAAAACCTTGGAGAGGGGGGGGGGGGGGGGGGGGGGGGAGACAAAACTAGCACACCCACCCCCCAGCCTCCCTCCTCCCCTATCCCCCTCTCCCCCCCTCCACCCCTTCTTCCCCTTCCCACGAGTCAGGGCATCCCTCTACATTCACCCTAACGCTTCAGGGCAAAATTTCACTGCCATTCTGAAATTTCAGGGCAAAACACATGAATCATCCTGACGTCACAGGGTAGAGTTCACCGTCATTCTGAAATTCCAGGGCAAATTTAAAACACCATCATGAAATCAGGGTAATCAGGATGTTTTGCCCTGATATCGTGGGCCCTGATGTGAACACATCAAAGTGGATGCTCAATATGCACCAATGCTACAACTGAGATTGATGGGGTCATTGAAACAGCGAAAACACGCTGCCCCAACGACGATGACAACCCCAGCTGCAAACATGATGCACACCGGCACCACACCTTGAAACAATCACAACCAACTGACATGAATGACACGTTGAACTTACACACAAGCACAAACACACACGCACAAACACACACGCACAAACACACACGCACAAACACACATGCACGGACACACATGCATATACACATACATACAAAGAGGATAGGGAAAGCAAACAAGGAGTCGCAAGTAAATGGATATCAACAATCACTGCTAGCCTGCCCCCAGTTCCTATCCTGTTCCCCCTTCCCTCTTCATCCCTCGCATTTCCACATCTTCCCCTCGCCTTCCCTTTTCTGCTCCCCGCGATGTGGCTCGCATATCCTGCAAAACATACAGGTCATGCAAAAAAATGCTAGTTATGTAAGGCGCCAGCGCATTGCAGCAAGGCGCCAGCGCACCGCGGCAAGGCGCCAGCGCACTAGGGTAGAAATAGTGAAGCATGATTGAAAGGGTTGTTATTAACAGTCCAGTAAATCGATAAATAATGGCAAACCCAATTTGACGTCTCACACACATGGCTTTAAACTCGAATCCAAGGCAACACGAAAACCACATCAGCATGCACGGAATGCATCACCTGCAGCAGAATTTTTGGCACCAAGTCCACACATGTCGCCAGCGCACATGGCGCCAGCGCGCATGGCGCCAGCGCGCAAGGCGCCAGCGCGTTAGGCGCCAGCGCACATGGCGCCAGAGCACATGGAGCCAGCGCGCATGGCGCCAGCGCGTTTGGCACCAGCGCGCTTGGCGCCAGCGCGTTAGGCGCCAGCGCGCTAGGCGCCAGCGCGCTACGTGCCAGCGCATTAGGCGCCAGCGCGTTAGGCGCCAGCGCACATGGCGCTAGCGCGTTAGGCGCCAGCGCGTTAGGCGCCAGCGCGCAAGGCGCCAGCGCGCATGGCGCCAGCGTGCATGGCGCCAGCGCACATGGCGCCAGCGCACATGGCGCCAGAGCACATGGAGCCAGCGCGCATGGCGCCAGCGCGTTTGGCGCCAGCGCGTTTGGCGCCAGCGCGTTAGGCGCCAGCGCGTTAGGCGCCAGCGCGCTAGGCGCCAGCGCGCTAGGCGCCAGCGCGCTAGGCGCCAGCGCGCTACGCGCCAGCGCATTAGGCGCCAGCGCGTTAGGCGCCAGCGCCTTAGGCGCCAGCGAGCTAATCACCAATCGGCAACAAGAACTTACGAAGAAAGTAGAGAAAATATGAAATTTCGGAGGGAGGAGCGAGGAAAAAGGTCCGGGAAACGGAAACGCACCTGAGACGACGGTGCCTCACAAAACGCGCGGTCGTGCAGCAACCCGCGCTCGCGCTCGTGCACCCACCAGAGGCGACGGCGGGAAGGGAGGGAGAGGCGACGGCGAAGAGGAAGGGAGAGCGACGGCGGGGAGGGAGGGAGAGGCTATGATGGGGAGTAAGGGAGAGGCGATGGTGGGGAGTGAGGGAGAGGCGACGGTGGGGATTGAGGAGAGGCGACGGTGGAGTGAGGAGAGGCAACTGCAGGTTGTTGTAATGACTAAAAACAGATAGCTGATAGGGAGTGGCGATGGCAGGATAATCGACGGCTGGGTTGGGAAAAGCACCGAGACTAGAGTAGAGCAGGTGCTTGAATTCAAGAAACCTAGACGAGACTGCCTAGGGAAGGAATTCTTGGGGTTGGTTTGGATTGTGTGGCGTTGGCATGAGAATTTTCTGCCTGAACAGTTTCTTACAATCAGAGTATAGTACTGTACAGTACAAGGACGATGGGCGAATTGCAAGGTACCCGGGCACATGGTAATCCGAAAAAACAAACACACAGACAAGATTTGGAACCCAGTGTCACGTGACAACACTCGCACAAACACGCGATCCACGTAGCTGACACATAAGGGTTAGCTAGAGTTATGAACAGACCCAGTAAATCATATGATAGTGCAATTTGTACCTACATAAATTACTGCTACAAAACAAACATCATATAAATATTCAAAAAATTCCCATCGTTAATAATGAGGGATTGGAAGAACAAGATGAGGAACTAACAACCTGTTATAAAGAGGAATAACATAGTTTTTCCCTTGCTCCAAGTAACGTACATGTAATATCAAGCATTCCTCACCTCATGTTTTCATACGACAAAAATATATCTTCTACGCAACCCTTCCGGCGTTCACGTCGAGTCTTGTTTTTGGATTTCCATTACTCGGATTTCCAGAGCTGTTTTCTAGGGAACTCTGAAGTCAGGGTTCATTATGAGCGTCACTCTGATTTGTCAGAGAAAACTTAACTTCTGAAAAATATGCTCTGGGCAGACAGTCTACATATTTTGCAAACTCTGAGTGTCCTCTCAAGTGTTGAACCCAGGCCTTCTGCACTCATACCAAAACTATAACCGTTGTGCTACGCGCTCACCAATGCGGCCACTGACGGACATATTATATCACTATATAGTCGGCCCAGCCATCTTCCACGAATTGGGGGGGGGGGGGGTTGGCTTGGTCGATGTGCCTATACCCTGTACAGAGAAAAATACATTCGCCCCAAATATACACTGCACGTCAGAGTGACCCCCTAAAAACCACTCTGATTTTCAGAGAAACAGAGTAATGTACTCTGATAAAAAAACCCCTGGTAGGCAATGGTGGTGATGGCAGGAGGGAGAGTGGAGGAATCGAGGGTCTGTCAGGCGACTTGGGATGTACGCGTAAAAGAAGATTCGTGTGCAGTGGAATTTTGAAAGTAGAAAAAGTGCGTAGTTAGTGAAATTGCTTCCGCATACACCGGCTCTCTAAGTGATAGCCAGGCCAACTTCCTTTCTGGTTGAGGCCAACACCTTTCCTGGTAGGCTATAAACACCTCTTATAGTTCTGGTTTGTGAATGTGACACTCTTGCTGCCTTTTTACAGGCTGAATACTAGATAAGTTATATCAACACTAGGTTAGATACATATCACTACAAAACTTCACCCTTGATGCCCTTCAAAGAGGCTCCCTATCATCTCGTTCACCTGTTGCGGGGTGTGCCTTATATATTTGGATTGATGCCGCAGTGTGGCACCATGTGTTTTGTAAAAGAGGGTGTAGAGTGATAGCACCCTGTACCGCACAGCCTGATGCAGCTCCTGTTGCAGAGGGCCAGGGTTGACCATCCAGGCTCGCTGAACCCTGCACGCTTCCTCGAACAATGTCGAGAACTGCTTGAATATTTCCTGCAAGTTGCAATCACGAGCAACAGCGCCTAACAAAATAGTCAGCCCAAAGTAGTCAACATGAATCAAAAAAGCTGCAGGGGTGAAGAATGTAAGCACAAATTGAAGTGCAACAAGCACAGGGAAGTTCCTCAAAAAAACCTTGAGGGAGCTGCTGGGATTACATCAGTAAAGTCTTGAGCGTAACTTTAGGGAGCCCTCGGGGTTACCTTGAGCGAGCCCTTGGGGTTGAGGAAGGAGGTGGTGGGGACCTCTCTGAGCGGTGCCACCACGCGGTTCCACGCCACCTTGAGGTACTCGTTCGCCTGCTGCTGTGCCGTGTCTGCCCGGTCCCTGATCCAGTCATCCCCCACCAGCATGCGCAGCTCACACCCCTTCACCTGTGCAGTACAGGAGCAGAGAGGATTTAAGAGAGACATCTGACTTGAGGAATAAATAGGCCACCTTGAGATACTCGTTCGCCTGCTGCTGTGCCGTGTCTGCCCGGTCCCTGATCCAGTCATCCCCCACCAGCATGCGCAACTCACAACCCTTCACATGTGCGTGTGCGTCACAGTTCGGGAGTGGAGGAGAGAACGGAGGGATTGAAAGGTATGAGTCGACATGCAAGTGGCTTCCTAATTGATCCAGTGATCTCCCACTAGCATGCGTAGCTCGCACCCCTTCATCTGCGTGTGTGCATCATAATTAGGGAGGAGAGAACAGAGGAGAAAGAGGCCCTAGTCGACTCAAGTATCATGTCTGACCTAATCCAGTTTGACCCCCACCAGCATAGAAATGTACACCGCACAGCTCTTCACCTTGCACGCAGAATAGAGTCCCAGCTTGTATGCAACACCCTTCGTACCTTGCGCGCAATGTACTGCACGTTGTTCATCATGAAAAAGTGTGCCAGCCCTGCATCCCGGTACGTCAGCGCCTTTCCCAGAAGCTTCGCCTCCAGGACCTTCAGAATCCCCCTGATCTTCCGCCCCACCTCGCGATACTCCTCCTGCGGCTCCCCCCAGTACCGCTTCCCATCCTCCCCCACCACTCCGCCCTCCTCCCCCTCCTCCTCCCCCTGCACCTCCTCCTCCTCAAACTCCTCCTCCTCCTCCTCGTCCGACCTCAGCCGCAGCAGCTTCGGCACCGGCACCACCACCGCGTTCCCACTGCTACTATACAGCTTATTAATAGTGTCACTGTATTCAAAGAGCAAGCCAAGGTAGTTGACGACGTAGCTGGTGAGTCCGTGCACGGAGCCGGCGGGAGGGGGCCGGCTGTCCTCCTGCTCTATGTTTCGCTCAAAGTCAGCGAGGATGCCTCTCACCGCCACGCCCACGTAGCTTAATACCACCGACAGCTCGTTTCGCACACTGCGGCACGCACCGTTGCCTGGAGGAGGTGGGGGAGGGAGGGGGTGTGAGGAGAGGGGGAGGGGGAGGGGGAGTGGGGGGTCAGGTTCTGAGATGTTTTGAAGTCAGAGAAGACGCCTCTTACTGCCACGCCCACGTAGCTCAGCAGCACCACCGACAGCTCGTTGCACACACTGCGACATGCACCATTGCCTGGAGGGGGTAGACAGGGGTGGCAAGCGGCCAAAAATTAGAGGTTGTTGTTGAAGAGAGCACAGGCAGAGAATCCAATCCACCAACACATGGTAACCAGACTGGACGGGACCCCATGCTCTACAGCAGCCCACATGGGCTAGACCTAGTGCCGTACCGCACACAACCGCGTTGAAATCCGGCTGCAGCTCCTGCAGCGTCTCGTAGATGTCAAGCATGGCGAAGAGGCGCTCCGGCGCCTTGTGCCCCGCCGCGAATGCCTCCACGAAGTCAAACAGCCGCCCCATGCTGCCCTTGGCTGTCTCCGCGAAACACTGCTCGCTGTCCTGTTGTCAGGAAGGGCGGCGGAGGGAGGCAGTGGGAAAGGGTGAGCGCAAAGGCTTCCACGAAGTCAAACAGCCGCCCCATGCTGCCCTTGGCTGTCTCGGCAAAGCACTGCTCGCTGTCCTGTTGTGTGGTGAGGTGTTGGTTGGGAGGGGGATGCAGGGGAGCAGAGTGGGGTCGGGTTGGGTTGGAAGCAAGAGCAGGCGAGGGTGAACGCGAGTGGGGATAGATGGCAAGCGCAAACAAACATGCAAACGCATCCAACCCACCTCCACCGTGTCGAAGACCCGTTCACAGAGCTTCCTCTCAGCGGCGAGCAGCACGCGCACGCCCCTCCGCGCGTACGCCTTCCACAGGTCCACCCGCGCTGCCAGCTCATCCCACTCCAGTGTCGGCACCAGCCGTGGGTCGAACCTCCCTGCTGCTAGCTGCTTCAGAGATTCCTCTAACACCGCCTGTGGGTGGGAGCGATGGAGAGAGGGTGAGGGGGAACGAGGGAGGGGGGGAGGGAGGGAGCGAGGGAGGGTGAGGAGGCGAGGAGCTCATGGGTTGACAGAGGGTAAACAGATAGCTGCATGCCGTCCATACGCTTTCCATAGGTCCACGCGCGTTGCCAGCTCATCCCACTCCAGTGTTGGTACCAGCCGCGGGTCGAACCGGCCAGCTGCTAGCTGCTTCAGGGATTCCTCTAACACGGCCTGTGGGGGGGGGGGAGGGACAGGAGGAGAGAGACGGAGGAGGAAAGAGAAGGGGGAGAGTGAGGGATGAAGGGGTAGGAGAGGGACGGGCGAAGAAAGAGGTCAGGGAAACTAGTGATTTGAGTCAAGCCCTGATGCTGAAGAAACAGCTCCAATGCTGCTCGCCTTCCGCTCCTCCAGTTCCAGCGACGTCTTACAACTCAGGACCTGCTCCCACTCTTCCCTCACTGCTCCCACTCTTCCCTCACTGCTCCCACTCTTCCCTCACTGCTCCCACTCTGCTACACTCTGCCGAACCTGCCTCGCTCGCTTTGCTCATTCCGCCTCACGCCCGCTTTGCTCATTCCGACTCCCCCTACCTTGCGCACGGTGCGGTAGTTCCGCCGGAGCGAGGGGGAGAGCCCCGCGCGTGCAGCCACGCGCGCAATGGCGTGGAGGCGCCACACGGCGGGCTCGGGGAGGAAGGAGGGCGCGCGGTCGAGCGCGGAGACCGCGAGGGACGCGGACGAGGGGGAGGAGGAGGGGGAAGAGGAGGCGACAGGAGTGGCGGCTGCGGAGGGGGAGAGCGGCGCGGAGGAGCGCGGGGGCTTGGATACGCGCTTGGCGGCTTCGTTGACCTGGGGGGGGTGGGGGGGGGGGGACGCGCGGACGGCGGGAAGGGAAACAGTGAGGTGCAACGAGAAGGCGGTGCTAAGAATCGGGAAATGGATGCAATAAAATGAAAATCTGACAGGAGCGAAGAACCTCAGTTTCGACCAATGCGGCGTCCGGGCGTCACAAGTGAGAGACGCACTCGACTTTCAATTCGGTCTTAAAAAAAAACACAGCAAGGCAGAGACGTACCCGATCGGGCGGCACGGGGTGGCTCTCCGCGAGCAGCACGTGCAGAAAGCCCTCCTCAAGCCGCGGCACGACGTTGTTCAGCATTGCTTTAGCCGTCTCGCGCACGCCGCCCATCCCGGGCGGCGCGCCGGGCATGTTCGCGGCGTCGATTAGGTCGAATAAGCGCTCGACCGCCTCGAGATACGCGCGCACGTCAACGACCGACGCGTCCCATATGGCGGTCCCCGCGCCGCCCGCGGAGGACGAGCGCGGGAGCGAGGAGGCGGAGGGGGAAGCGGAGTGCTGCGCGGGTTGCCCATGCCACCCGCCGAGGATGGCTATGGAGGAATCTAGGGTTTCGAGTGGGGATGTGTACACGTGCGCGTGCGCGTGCGTTGCTCGAGAAGAGTCGCGCATGTCGGGCGGATAAGCGGAGTCGGCGGCGGGATCGACGGCCGACGAGTTCAGCACGGTGAGTTCACTAAGCGCGCAAAAATGACGCTTTGAATTATGTAAGCTCGTTGAGAATGCTAAGCTAACTAACAACTAGCACAGGCTGGTAAAAGATGGAAGTGAGCTAGGTTTGAACTGCAGTGACTACTGATATGGAAAGTGAAATGGCGGAGTCACAAGGAATACCGTAGCTGGTGGTGGTGTTTTGGAGTGCGATTAGAGAGGATCTCGAGGCGATGGGCTGACGTCCTCGCTGTTAGCACAACTGAAATGATTTCATTTTGTTAGGTGGAGATTTTGCTACTTCTACTGCTTATATGCGCACACAATCTGCAAGGAAAGGAGTCAATGCTGAGTCTAAGCACACGTTGGTAGTGTCCCAACACCCCACACCTGCATGGAAAGAAAAAGTAGAAGCAGAGAAAAAAGCTATTGTTAGGTCTCAAGATGCAAATAAACAGAGCTTCAAGATGGCTGGATGACATGTATGAAATGGATCGGATACGGTACGTATGTCCAATTCCTCGCGGTACCTGCGCCAGGCATGGAAGTTGGCATATTTCACGGGGTCCTCAGCAGCCGCCACTATGGTGCGCCGCAGCTCGTCCCGATGCATTGAATCGGCGTTCAGGAACGAGTCGGGGGGGGCAAAGCTGTCTATGTCCGGCGCCCCATAGTACACCGGCACTGTGCCTGCAGCGAGGGAGTGTGTGGGTAAGGGGAGGGGAGACGTGTGTGTGTGTGTGTGCGCGCGCATGTGTGTGCATGTGCAAGAGTGTGCATGTGTATGTGCCGCATGTCGTTCAGGAACGAGTCCGGGAGGGGCGAAGCTGTCGATGTCCGGCGCCCCGTAGTACACCGGCACTGTGCCTGCAGTGGGGCGGGGGTGGGCATGGGGAGACGTGTGAATGTGCATGAGCGTGTGCGTGTGCGTGAACGTGTGCACGTGCATATGCATATGTGGACCCCCAACAGGTTCCCATTAGCCCCAACACACCTGCTTCCAACGCGTGGAAGAACTTTTCAGTTACGAAGCCGCGCTCCTCGCGTGACTCTATAACGAGGTTGAACAGGTAGTGTGACTGTACGCAGTGCAGGTGGTCCCACCAGTCCTTGTGTCCCCCGCCCCGCATCCCCACCCCTGCATCCTCCTCCTCCTCCCAGCTCTCCTCACTCCTCCCCCACACGCCCCCCCTTCCCGTGCGAATGCCTCTCATGGGCCTCCTTGCAATCTCTGCTTCCTGCCGAGCCTCCTCTGCTGCCTCGTCACCACCATTGTCACCACCACCACCACCACCACCACCTCCTCCTCCTCCTCCTCCTCCTCCTCCTCCTCCTCCTCCTCCTCCTCCTCCGCCTCCTCCCCTTCCTCCTCCTCCCTCGCCTCCTACCCCTCCGCCTCCTGCTGTTCCCTTTCCCATGCCTCGCTGTGCTGCTGCTGCTACTGTCGCTGCAGACCCACCCATGCGCTTCACCTCGCCACCTTTGCTTTCATTCTTTGCCCCCTTCCCTTGTTCATGCGACCCCACTCTCTGACCGTGCGGCCCCGCATAGCTGCATCCCATGCGAGTGCAGGATGGCAAGAGCGGGATGGCAAGTGCAGGAGGCAGAGAGAAGGATTGAACATGGTGAAGGCACTTGCGTCAAAGGTCAGGGTGAAGGCTACTCACAAGGGACAAACACCATGGCATGTGCGCTGCATGCCACACACGCACAGGCCACTTATCAGATCATGCACTTGCGCATGCCGCACGGCTCAAGCACACACCGGCTCAAGCCTCTGATCACGGTGCATACAGGCACGTGCTCAGTGCATGGAGGCCATACGTGTATGCGCAACACAGGCCTCTCATCAGAGCACATACTGGCACATGCTGTACGTGTCCAGCACGTCCGCCTCCTCCTCCCTCATGTTGTTGCTGCTGCAACTGCCAGTGCTGTGTGCTGCATGCATGTCACACACAACACAGCCCTCTTATCACAGTGCATACAGGCACAAGCTGAGGGCATAGAGCACGTACGTGCACATGCTGTACGTGTCGAGCACGTCCGCCTCCTCCTCTTTCATGTTGTTGCTGCGGCTGCCCATGCTGTGCGCCATGCGCCGCATCAGCGCTCCAATGCGCTCGCGCCAGCTGGACGGCCGCGATGCTGCGTGGATGAGAGGCGGTGACTGGGGTAGGCAGGGATGGGCGGGGGATGGGATGATGGAATGAAGAAAGATGTGAAACTCTCAAAAGATCATGATGCCATGCCATCCCACGCCATTCCCCCATGCCGTGCCCGCATGCCATGCCATGCCCCCATCACATGCAACCCATCGCATTCCAACCCATGCCATGCCCCCAGGCGCACCTTCCTCTTGACGCCAGACACATGGCGGTTGCGGTCAGCATGCTCCAGCTGCCCCGCATATGTCACCTGCACGTCTGCATCCGCGCCATACCCCACTCTTATGTCCGCCGCAACCCTGCTGCCCCTGTCACCACTGCCACCACTTCTGCTGCTGCTGCTGCCATTGCTGCCGCTATCCCCACCCCCATCAGCAGTCCTTGCCCGCTCCTCCCCGCCCCCATGCCCTTCCATATCCATTTGCACCAATAAGGGCCTGCCTCGCTCCATGCTGCTTGGGTGGTTCGGAATATCTCGGGGTAATTCACCCTCGAAAAGCAGAGCGTGCGGGGAGGGGGAGAGGGTCGGGGAGCGGGAGAAGGAGCAGGAGAGATGGCAGGGGCAGCTGTAGAGACCGTCTAGCCAATCAGGGATGGACGGGGAGGAAACCACCTGGAAAGGGGCAGGAATGGTTGGAGGTGAGAGGGGGGGAGAGGACCAGGAAGATGTGGTAGGATGTGAACTGTGTTGGCATGGGGAGGATTGGGAATGTGGATGAGTAAATTCTGGGACCCACATGAATGCACGGTGCGGCGGGAAGATGGATGGAGAGGGCAAAGCACAGCATGCATGAATGTGGAGTGTTTGATGCTTGAGATTCAACACGGGCACACATCCTGACCGCAGGACTATTGCCATGTACTGTGGTCAAGTTGTCTCGGTCCTGATCGGTAACATGAGGTACCTACCTGGATGGAGACATGGGGCAGCTTGAGAGCAGAGCACGGCAGGGAGGAAGCATCCTGGAAGCTGCTGCTCTTGGGCCACGTGTCGTTCAGGTACTGGGCGATGAGATCTGAGGTGGAAGCAAAGCGGGGAGCACCGAGCCACGAGCACACGTAATGTGGGTCATGGTACCTTGGTGGCTGCGTGAATGGTAACTTCGTGCCCATCACGAGATATTGGCTGCTCTGCATGAGATGATTCACGAGATACGTCGGAACGTGCGAAATCAGTGTGCAGCAACGGGAATCCCCCCGAAGCTGGACAAAAGGCGCGGGTTTATGGACGCCGAACCTGCGTGCTTGCTTCGGAAGGCGGCGCAGCCGACGGTCTTGTCCCACGCCGCCCACGCCTCGTCCATGTCCATCGCCCTGCCGAGCCACGACTCCTTGCGTCGGGCGACGGTGCCGAACCTCACCCGCAGCTCCGGGTCCGACAGCTCCGGCGGGCCACGTGGCAGGTTGAGACTGGCGCCGTCGATCGCATCTGCTTCGAAGTCGTAGTTATCGATGCGCGGATCGGGTTCTGGTGAAAGCTGCGCGAGCGAGGGAATAGGCGTGTCTTTATTAGTACGCCATCGGAGACGCGTCGCGGCGAACTCGCGCCCGAATCGCAGCAGCGACCCAAGGAGGCGCTCCGACTGCGCCGGATGCGCGGAGGAGAGGAGCAAGAGCACGCCGAGCAATGCGGCGGCTCTTGCGGCGGAAATCCCGGCTGCGGAAGCCCTGGCGGGGTTCCATGTTCTCATGACTGTTAGCACGCAGGGCCGATGTCATGGGGGCGTGTCATCGCGTGCTCGCTAGCTGACACGTGGCACACATAGAAACAGTGGAATGCTCGTTCACATAAGTAGATTTCGCGGCAAAAGTGCAACAGGTCAGACACGGATTAGGTAGCAGTCGGACGGCAGCGGCAGCGTCGTGGGGACCCAAAAGTACAAATTCTCATTCAGGCGAACTCGAATGGATGTGAATTTGAGTCGAGTCGAATCGAGGCTTCTCATAACCGTGATCGGATTCGTGACCTGTAGATCACTGATCGCATATTCTGAGCACTAGGTAGTGACTCGCTTTCGCGTACCCTAGCTGCGATTACGATCGCATCGCCGTGATTGTGCGGCTCTCATTTGGTCGTCCGTCCGTCGCAGCTCGAGCCGCCATGCTCTTTCCGCAAGTCGCTATCGTCGTCCCGGGCGCGCGTTGATCCGCCGCCGCCATGCCGCCACGCGCGCAGTCCCCCCGCCCTGCCAGCTCCATCCCCCCATCCGTTCCCCCGCTCTTCTCCGCGCGCCCCTTCCTGCTCGGCGCGGCCGTCGCGCTGCTGCTCTCGCAGGCGGCGCTCCTCGCGCGCCTCCACATCCCCGCCGCGCCGTATCTTCGCGCTGCTGGTGCGGGCGGCTTGGCGGGGGACGTTAGCAGCCCTGGGGATTTGGGTGACCGCGAGGCCGCTGTGGAGTCGCAGGGCGACGGCAATCAGTCGCAGGGCGATGGCGATCAGTCGCAGCAGCAGTCGCAGGAGATGGCAGTGCTGCGGAATGTCACGGAGCTGGCGCAATGGGCGGCGGAAATCGCGGACGCGCTGAGGGCAGTGTTCCCCGAAATGATGGAGTGAGGACGAGGGGAGGGTGGGGAAGGGGCAGGGGTGAAGCGGAAAATTGGTCGGGGATGGGGACGGGGGGCCAATGCGTGCAATGGGAGTGAGGCAGTGGGGACAGTTGGCACGTCTGTGAGCAGCGTGGCACAGCATACTTTCAACAGCCATCTCATCTCATGGCCAGCCATTCTCACCCCATGTGCTTGCCACGCCACGCCATGCAGGTCAAGGGACTCGTTCATACAGCACCTCGTGCAGCCCTACCAACCACCGCCTCCTCAAGGTCGCCCCATGCTGCTCCCTGCCATGCTTGCCCTGCCATCACATGCCATGCCTTGCCATGCTGTCCCATGCCATCACATGTACTGGGCACCGTTGGGTGACATGTCATCATCAGTCCCACTGCTCTAGCCACACCTGCCATCCTCACTCTCATCCCTCCTCTCCCTTCTTCCCATCCCTCCCCCCCTTCTCCTCCTCCTTCACCAACCCCCCCTCCCCTCTCCCTGCATGCATGCAGACCCACCTGCCCCAGCTGGCACCTGTGCCATACCGCAGCAGAGGGACCGTGACGCGCGAGCGCATGCAGCCATGGCGCGCAGCATCGAGGGCCTTGCCATCGCCCTCGCCTGCTCCCACTCCCCCTCCCAAGCCCCTCATGCCCCCAATGCCTCTCAGTCCGCCCATCCATCCTCCACCTCTCTCACCATCCTCTCCCTCCCGCGCTCCTTCCGCCGCACCCACTGCTCCACTGCGACTGCACTGCTCCCACCCGCACTGCCCATTGACACCACACATACCAGCAGCAGCAGCAGCAGCAGAACAGCTACACAAGGCAGCAAGCTTAACCCCGTTGACCCCGTTAACAGCACTGACCCCATTGACCGAGTTGACGACGTTGACCCGTACGATGCGGCCGGCCGTGCCAGGCTGGCTCGGGTGCTCATCGCCCTGCACCAGTCCTCCTCCTCCACGTGGCTCCCTCCCTGGCTCTCCCACCTCCTGCCCACGTGGCTGCCTCCCATTGGCCGCAGCAGATCTCCCTCCACGCACAGCTATTGGCTGGGCAAGCTGGCAGAAGAATGGGCAGCACAGGGGGGAGAGGGAAGGGGGAGGGGAGGAGGAGTAAGGGGAGGCGGAGCAAGAGGGGCGATTGACCTTGGGGTGGAGGGGAGGTTGGCGGTGGGGCTGGGGCAGAGCAGGCCGGGCAGTCAGAAAAGTCAAGCGAGTCAAGGCAGTGAAGGCATTCCGGCGGTGCATGGCAGGAAGGGGTCAGCAGCAAGCAGGGGGAGTGGGTGGTGGGGCGTCACGTGGAACAGCAGGACGAGTGCAGGGAAGGTCTTGATGGGCAGGGGAGGCAAGGACGGGGATGGGAGAGGCAGGGAGGGCGAGGGACGGCAGTGGAAGTACTTCCTCTCAGCCATGGCCTTCAACCGCGCTGCTGCTGCTGCTGCCTCTGCTGGCAGCGGTTCAGAGCGGTGTCAGGCTGCAGTTTTCGCCATCTTCCAGGTGTGCGCCCTCCCACCTGTGCCTTTCACCTCCCAAGGGAACTTCACCTTCTGAAGCTGTGCTGTTGGTGTGCTGGCACTGCTGCTGCTGGTGCTGTGTGGTAGAGAGGGCATTACATCCTAACAACTCTCACCGCTCAAGCCACTGGAGCCCCACTTTTGCCCACCCGCGCCCACCCTTCCCACCCTCCCCTCGCTCCCCTCTCATGCAGTGGATGGATGGAGTACATGCGGTATGCGGGCACGGAGCACATCATCTGGTACGACCGTGCCTTTTGCTCCATGTGGCCCGATATGCTTGCTCCCCTCTCCCGTCCCTGCTCCCCCTCTTGCTCCTCTCTCCCCTCCCACCAGTGGATAGAGTACATGCGCTACGCAGGCACGGAGCACATCTATTGGTACGACTGTGCTGCCAGGGAGGCGGAGAGCCAGGAGGCCGTCCTCTCGGTGTACACCCACGCAGGGCTGCTGACGTACCACCGCCTGCACCAGATAACGCCTCCCCCTGCTGGCGCTGATTACCACTTTGACCAGGACTCCTCGCTCTCCCACTTCCTGCAGGTGAGATGATTTCTCCTGCAGGTGAGGAGGGCGGGGGAAGGGGGAAGGTGGGGAGGGGAGTGACTAAATAGGGGGGTAGGGAGACGGTGGAAGGAAGCAAGATTTTTCGCTCTCAAACGTGCTCCACGTGAGGTGCTCTTGCTTTCCGTAGCCACTCAGCCAACTACGCTGTCCTGTCCTCTCACTCACCGGCCTGCCCTCCACTGCTACCCTCCCCCACTCCCAGCACCACGGCCATGAGTCCAAGTGGGTGGCCTTTGCTGACGTGGACGAGTACATCTTCATGCCGCCCGACACCCGCCCGGGCTTCCTCACACGCCTCCTGCTGCGCCGCCCATGCGCCGCCCAACACTCCGCTCCTGGTGCTGCTGGCAGGGCAGGAAGAGGGAGGAGAGAGGAGGGCGAGGCACAACAGGATGACCAGCAGGAGGCAACGCAGGTGAGACGGTGCTGTTGCGCACTTATTGCACCGCTCGAGTCTGCGTGCTGGCAGACTATGTCTGCGTGCTGGCAGACTATGTCTGCGTGCTGGCAGACTATGTCTGCGTGCTGGCAGACTATGCTGCGTGCTGGCAGACTATGTCTGCTTGCTCAACCCATTGTCTGTCTGTCTGCTGCCTTGACGCTCTTCCGACTCTTCTGCAGCTGAGCTGAGTTGAGATCTCTCAAAACCCGTTACCATCTGCCTCCCCCTCCTCCTGCGTTCCCCAACGCATCCCCCATTCCCCCCTCTTCCTTCCTTGCCCTCCAGCTCCTGCTATACAACCAGTTCTTCATAGGCCACCCACGCCCTCCCCCTGCGCGCCTCACTATAGAGCGATTCATCCACCGCCCGCACCGCCCGCCCGACCACCATGACCGCCTGCGAGGCAAGATGCTGCTGCAGCCCGCGGCTGCCCTCGGGTTCCTCTCCCACGCACCCCACCGCGCTCTCATGCACTCTGGAGAGACCATAGTGGCTGATCCTGGGCTCATTCGTGTGAATCACTACTGGGGTGATAGGGGGTTATCGGCGAATGCGAGTGAGAGGGAGAGGGAGGAGCTGGAGGATGGGTCGGTGGATGATAGGAGCATGCAGGTTATAGCGGATGTGATTAAAAGGAGGTTGAGATGGGTGGTGCCGGTGCTGCCCGTGCTGTGTGAGAGGGAGGCTGTGGTTGGTGCTATGATGGAAGCTCAGAGGTTGGCAGATGTGCTGCTGCAATCTGTGCAGATGGAAAATGGATGATGTAATTCAGAAATATGAAGCCACATTGCAATTCAGATGTATTGTTCCAAACACTGCTTTCCCTTCCCAAGCGAATACACTTTTGTGTGTCTGCAAAATCATGGCTAGTGTTGCGCAGGCTGTAATAGAGTACAGTATTAATGCGCTGCATTTGCTGTCTGAACGCGATTCCAGGCTGAACAAAATTCCCGATGGTGTCCCTCCCGTGTTCTCCAAGAACTTTACGATTCTTCTTGCCTGATGAGGCGGTTCTGGGGAGACTCGATATTTTTTGTAAAGGACTAGCAGCAAGTCCTCTTGAGCTGTGAAATGTATTTAGGGAGCTTGTGTGGCGTGGCTGTCTCAAATACGGCGGAGCTTCACACATTTTGATACCAGTTTCGGTTCAGTCGATCCTTTATTTTCAGGGTGTACATGCAACAATAGTTCTCTGGTTTCCCTGCTCCATTATGACTCAACAGTCGATAAACGCTGGCCATTGGTGCAAGCCAGATATATGTCCGTCAAGCCTTCTTGGCCATAACTTTGCACGGGAATTGATTTTCTGCCCAGAGCAAGCATCTGACTTACAGGAACAGGGTTGGTGAAACTACATTCAATTCAGGTATGGTTTCCTTGCATACTCAACCCAAAAGGGGATGGTACATAATATTGATTGCAGTTTCACCAACTGGAACCACATTGCGTCCTATTGAATCTTATAGAACCATGCAGAGCCCATTTGATCGTCCGAGCTTCATGATCGTGAACAACTTGTTACATGCCTTAGTGCCCAGGATTTTAAGCATGAATAGAAGGGACAATTGATGGCTGACACCCCACCCCATCCCCATTTTCAGGCGGATACACACACACAGAATCTCACAGCCAATGGGTGGTAGGAAAGCTGCCCGAACAGCAACTTCTGACCCTACGTCTTGTCATCCTTGTCGTTGTCAGTCTTACACGTCAGCCCACGCCTGGTGTGACTGACCGAAGGGACCTTTTGGGCAGCAATTCTCGAGTCGCGTGGATGGACAGAGCTCGTAAGTTGGCGAAACGACAAGCCGAATGAATCTCCTGGTGGCAGCACGTTACCCGTCATCATGTGGGGCACTGGGGAAAGGTGTGAGCGAGAGGGAAGCGAGGCTGCGAGAACGGCGGGCAAGCAAGGAGTCGAGACGAGTGAAGGCGAGGAAAGGAGCACCAAGGAATGGGATCGCACGTACAGTGCGTTGAGTTGAGGGGCTGTTTGTTGGAGTGAAAGAGCACAGAGCGACAGAAGTGAAGAAAAGCGTGTTCCTTGAGGGAGTTGGGCTTCTCAGACACAAGACGGATAGATCTCAATCTCAACTGAACGCTAGCACAGTTCTGTGTGCTTCATCCGTCACTCGTGTTTCTGACCGAACACGTCGCTGACGTTTAGAAGAAAAGGGTTTGTGTCGAGCCTGGCTCTACGCGCATTATCCAGGAGTCCCGCGCGTTACCTGAATATGCTCGTGCCGTCCTAACGCGCATTATCCAGGAGTCTATACCCCGCCGCCGGCACAGCCACGATATTTAGGGCTACCAATCCCGTCCCCATCGCATGATATAGCGCACACATGGCGCCGACGCTAGCGAAGCGATGGCAGCGCATGTTCTCGACGTCGCACGCCGGCCAGCGGTCGCCCGGCGACCAGCGCCACGACGACCAACCGTGCGCGCCGCCATGGGCCAACCACCCGCCCCCACTCGGCCGCCGCTCGAGCTTACCAGATCGCGGGTACACGTCGCCGCACCAAGCGCCGCAGCAGCACCACCAGGCGTCGCCTCACCACCAAGCGTCGCCGCACCACCAAGCGTCGCCGCACCACCAGAAGTCGCCGCACCACGCTATGCACAGCGCGTCGCCGCAACACATGCAGCAGCAGCGCGGTCTGAAGCACAGCACGTCCCGCACGTCGCTCGACAGCGCGGACGACGACCGGCCGCCCGGCGCGAACGGCGTGGGCGGCGCGGAAATGGTGACGGTGAAGCTGGCCAAGTCCGACTGGCTAGAGATAGTTAACGCGCTCGAGTCGGCTTCCAGCAGGTGAGGGCGACAAAAACCCGCGAAAGTTAGTGCCCGCTCCCAGAGTCATTCGCGATTGATAATGCCTGCGGTGTGGCAGCAGCAAGCGCGAACCTGGAAGCCCAAGTTCACCCATCCCTTGCGCGGTTCGTCGTGAGGCAGATAACTAGACAGAGCCTCCCATCTGACTTTTGAGTCGACTCAAAAGTCACGTCTTAACTAGTCAAAGCCCCTCCGTCCCTCTCCACCCCGTCATTTCGTTCCGTTCCGCCATACACGCCCCCATCCGCTCCCCCATCCGCGCCCATGCGCGCGCGTCCCTCCAGGTGCGAGAACTGCGGGGAGACTTCACCGTCCGCGCCCCCCGCCGTCTCGCTGCCCGCCACGCAGCGCCTCTTCGCGCAGCTCAAGGCGCGCAGCAACGGCCCGCCCGGCGGCGGCGCGAACGAAGACGTGCTCGGGCCGCTCTCGGCGCTGCGCTCGCAGTCGTCGCGCGAGGGTATCGGCATCGGCGGCGGCGTGGGCGGCGCGGCCGCCAGCTCGACCGGCTCGCCGTACGGACTGACGTCCAGCGACAGCGCGTCGACGTCGTCCCGGCGGCGCTCGCTGAACCTTCCGCGCGCGCGCGAGCTCGACGCGGATCTGCCGTCCAGCGGCCCGCTCGGCCACATCCAGCCGCGCGACGTGTTCGGCGCCGCCGGAAATCACGGCGCGGGTTGCGGGCCGAACTGCCACGCGGACGCGCACGGCATGCACGGAGCGCACTCGGAGCTCGGACCCATGGCGTGCCCGCACCTCGCGGCGATGGGCAGCAACGCGGGGGCCTTCGGGGGGTCGTCGTTCGGGGCGCGAAGCATCCAGCAAGCTTCCGCCATGGCTCCCACCGCTTACAGCTGCGTCGAGTCGATGATCGGCGGCGGCGGCGGGGGCGGCGGCGGGGGCGGCGGCATGGGCGGCGGGTTCGGCGGAGGCGTAGGGATGGATAGATTCGGCGGAGTTTCCGCTTCCGCCATGGTGGCGGCGGCGGGAGTGAGCGCGGGCGGAAGCAGCGGGTTTTCAAACGCGGGGTTCTCGATGGGGGGATTCTCGAACGCGGGGTTTTCGAATGCGGGGATGTCGGGCGTGGGGCGCATGGGCGTGAGCCCGTCGGAGATCCTCAACCGCAAATTGCTGACCATCATCACCAAGGCGCACGACCTCTTCTCCAAAGACCAGGTGAGCGCCGCGAGGGAAAGGCGCGTGGAGGGACGGGGACACGCGCACGGGGGGAGGGGGCGTGGAACGAGGGGTGGGGGGGCAAGCTGCTCACCATCATCACCACGGCGCACGACCTCTGGGGTGTGTGGGCAGGCGGGGAAGGGGGAGAAAACGTGGAGGGGGGTTCGATTCAAGGCATGCTCTCACGGTCATGACCTCTTCCCCATGGACCGAGAGGGCGGCTCGCGGAGGGAGGGGGGCGGAGGGGGATGGGGGGAATTTGGACGGGTGAGTGGAATGGAATGCGGAATTAGGTTTGTTTTATGAGTTGAACAAAAAAATCAAACACGCCTAGAGGAAACAGGCATGGGCGTAATGCACCTCATGATCGATGAACAGGAAAGGACGCGAGGCACCGAAGGGGAAGGGTGGGAACGGGGGAGGCGAAGGGGAGGCAGGCTCGGGAGTTGGGGTTGGGTGAACGGAAATGGAGGCGGAGGGAGGGGAGAAGGCGTTGGGGAAAAGGCAGGTTGTTGCGGGGGGCAGCCTGAGGGCAGGGAAAGAGGGATGATGTTGCAGGGCAGGCAGGGAGAACGTAGGAGGGACGACAGGCAGGGCCGTTGCTGAACGGCAGCAAGCTGGGCGGCCACCTGCCGTCGCAGCTCCCTCCTCTCCCCACTCTACTTCCTCACACCCCCTTTCCCGTCCCCTCCCCTTCACGTCCCCACTTCCCTCCTCTCCCGCAGTCCCCGAACGGCAGCAAGGTGGGCGACTACCTGCTGGCGCAGCTGCTGGACCTCACCAAGTCCAAGTTCGGGTTCGTCGCCAGCGCGCTCAAGAAGCCCGAAGGCACCTACTACCTCAAGGTGAGGGGAGAAAGGAGAGAGGGGAGGGAGGGACGGGGAAGCTGCAGATATTGCTACATGATCGGGAAGGGGAGGTCAAGCCCAAACTCGTGTTTGAAGAGAGGGGGGGGGGGGAGGGGAGGAGCAGGCGTATGATACTCTATATCGAGCGGGATTTCGTGTAAGAGAAGGGGGGCAACTGCCTCTGTTGTGGCGAGGAGGAAAGGACACGAGACCCTGAAGGCATTGTAACGTGTCAATCACTGTAGCCAGGTTGCAGACGCAAGGCAGTCCCATGCATGTGGGCGCGGTGCGATTAGGGAGCGACTGCTGAGATGTATCGAAAGCAGTTAGGCCCCATGCGAACCGGCTCGGATCAGCGTCTGGGCATGTTCTGGAGGTGCGAGGGAAGGGATGGCAGTGGGTACACGAGGCTGGTCTAGGGTTAGTGGGTGTGAGTGAGAGTGTGAGGTTGGACAGGAGTAGCACGGTAGTACAACTCGGTTTCTGAGGCGCAATAAGCAACTGCTCTGTTTTAGGGTTACTGAGTGTCGACAGGCGCAGCTCATTGGCACATCTCCAAGTGCAGAGCGGACCTGCTGAATCTCGTAGCCAGCCGTGAGGGAGGGCGTGGAGGAGAGAAGCAGCTGTTGATGAGCTTAACCTGGGGAATGGTGACTGAGGAAGGGGTGCGGGGTTGCGAAGAAAGGGAGCTGCCTTCTCTGGCTGTGGGAGCTGCGGTTGTGCCGAGATGAGTCCTGATGCATGAACAAACGGTATCTACAGCCTCCTCACCACCACCACCCCCTCCCTTGTTATCTCCCCACCCCAATTGCAACCTCCCCAACCCCCTTGCAACGTCCAGACGCACGGCATAACCAACTTTGCATGGACGCGCGAGCTGCGGCTGTGGTACGCGGAGAACGCCCCGTCCGGGCTGGTCTTCTCCAACATGGACACGCTGTTCGGTCGCGTCGTCACCACGGCCGATGTCGTCATTTCCAACGACGTCCCCAACGACCCAAGGGCAGTGGGCGTGCCGCCCGGCCACCAGCGTGTGTCCACCTTTCTGGGGGTGCCTCTCTTCGCCGGTGCGGAGCTGGTGGGCATGTTTGCGGTGGCAAATCGCAAGGAGGGGTACGAGGAGACGCTGCTCATGGAGATCCAGCCAATGACTAAGACCGTCGCACAGATCGTGGGCGCGCTGCAGGAGAGACGGCACGAGCGCGAGGAGCAGGAGCGGCTGAGAGCGATGCTGAAGGGCACGGGAGATGCGATCCTGGGCGTGGATGACATGGGCGGGATCAGCTCGTTGAACCGTGCTGCCAGGCTGCTGTTTGGCTTCACGGACACCGAGGGGCTGGGCGACAGCAGTGGCCGGGCGTTTGGGCAGGCCGAGGTGCTGCCGGAAAATCTGCACGTCGCGGATCTGTTCATTAGTGTGGACGGCCGAGATGACTTCGCCGACCAGGGTGAGATGCCCTCCCACACACTGATGTGTTTCATTTTACTCTTTCTTTTCCCCGACCTTGTCCCTGTTCCTTCAACCTCTTCTCCGCCCTGCTCCCCTCCCAAGCTCCTGCATAGCCCAAGCGCCCCAGGCTCTTCATTCATCAATCTATACCCTGGGAACCGCTGTGTGTGGTTCCGGATTCTAAATCAACGCCCTGTGAACCGCCTTGAACCCCCGTGTGTGCCACCTCAGGTCTGGAGGTGTTTGTGTGTGACGGCCTCAGGATGCCCGCCATTGGTCGGCGCATTCTGGGCGGCACACTGCTGCTGGAGATGATGTTGTCACGCGGCAGCAACCCCGACGTGGCGTATGTCATCACGGCACGGGAGCTCAAGAACAGTGGTCTGGGCGGCACGCCTACGATCGGCTCGGGCAGCAACAGCCTTGCGAGAACGGGCAGCAAGGGAGGGCCCACGTTCTTTGAGCCTGCGAATATGCCCGGAGGAGATGAGTGACCGCATGGGTGAGTGCGTGTTCTGTTCTCACAGGTTGGAGGCTTCATGATATATAATATGAACAGAGAAGAGGTTTACTTTGCCGAAAGGGGTTCTCCTACGAGCTGCTCTCAGTGGGTTGTGTAACTTATGAATGACTTTTAGAAAAGCCCATGTTCCATATGTATGCATACCATATGCGTGATTGCCTATTGTGAAGCTGACTAGAGATGTACTGAAATACTTGCATTATTGCAGATGTAGCCAAACAATGAGCTCAGAGAATTTGTATTTGCTATCTCCAGCGCTAATGTGCCTTTGGAAGGTGTACCAACGTAACAGTTTCCGCCACTCGTCAATTTCAATTTTCGAATGTTCAATGACTCAAACAACCTTGAGCCGGAGGGCAGGGCAAGTGTTCAATTCTTTACTAGTCACAAAAGCGTCTCCAGTTTATTCACGCTGTTCAGCCTGAAAATTGTTTGCAAGTCGCTAAACTTTGGCTTTTACTTGACAAATGCTTTTAGATCACAGCACTCGAATGCGCCGTCAACTTTCGGGCCTCAATTCTTGATTTATTCCCTTAGCCAACCCAGCCCCTCAAACATTTCGCGCCACTAACCCGACTCGAGGCCGCATAGTTGCTGTTGGCGTGGTTCCTGGCTTCTATTTCCACCAACAGCCAGCGAAGTCAGAATGTTAGGCTAGGGTTTCGCGTCCCACTGACGCTCTTGGGGGCACAGGCCACTACACGGTAGCTAGCGTGGCTGAAGGGCGAAGTTGTACATTTTCTTAAACTCTTTTAGCGGTTGCAATAGGTACACTAACTCGGGCTTCATTACGCAGAACCTTCAGCAGGCTAAAGGTATCCGAAGTGCGTCAGGAATATCAACGCTTCGAGCGCAATACTGGCCAGAGCTGATCGGTTCCACTGTCTAACTTGTTTTAGCGCACGTCCTACTTAGAAGGGTGCTTGCGTCTCTCTTCAATATCAGCCTCGCGAGTCCCTATCGCTTATCGTCATCTATAAAAAGCGTGGACAGTTTTTTTTTTTTTTTTTTTTTTTTTTTTGCAACGTTCACTCTTTCGCAGCCTACCCTCTGCCAGCAACCGTCGAAACTTTTTAACGGGTAGAAAAAAAAATTGTAATGGATGACCCAAGCCAGCATTTCCCGCCTGGCTCGCTGCCCGAAGGAGAGCCGGCGCCAGCGCAGGCTGCGGCGGAGGGCATGGAAGACGCGGAGAACCTTCTCGACGACATGCTCGAGGCGGCCGAGGCCGCGCGCCACGAGACCGAGCTGACTCTAGCGCCGCAGGCGCCCGACGAGAATGAGCCGTTTGTGACTGTGGCGGGTGTGACTGCAGGCGATGTGACGGAAGGAGTGGTGGAAGAAACTGTGACTTATCACGGTGTGACTGAAGGAGAGGTGCCTGAAGCGGAAGCAGGTGAAGGCGAGGGGTTTGATCTAAATATGGATGCTGGTGGGGGTGGGGGCGGTGCGGCGGCGGTTATGATCACCGAGGGTGCAGCAGCTGAAACCGAACCAGGGACCGGACCAGGAACCGATCCTGGTTCGGGTTTGGGTGTTGCCGAGCCTGAGAGTCTGCCGGTCGGGACTGAGGAGCAGGCTCGGGAGACTATTGGCGAATACCAAGAGGTGGGCGGAGAGGGCGGGGATGGCCATATCATGCAACAGGCAATGGCGGGTGCTTATGAAGAGGGAGGCATGGCGGAGGGCGAGCAGCCGAGAGCTGACGTGGAAATGGGTGAAGCAGCGGAAGGAACTCATCCGGAGGGTGCTTATATCGAGCAACCAGTGCAGTACGAAGGTGTGCAGCAGCAGGAGCACGTGGGCGCAGAGCAGGCAGAGACAGCAGAGCAAATGCAGATGGCACCTACCCCAGATGAGTCTGCTGTAGCGCACCAGCAACCAGCTGTAGCTGAGCAGGAGGCAGGTGAGGCCTGGCAGGGCGAGGCTGTAGCACAGGCCGAAGCGGCTGTAGCAGGGTACGAACATGGTGAAGGGCCTGCTGTAGCTGGGTATGATGCGGCTTTCCCTGGCCAGGAGGCGGCTGTTGCTGAAGCTGGCGGAGGTGAGACGGCAGAGGGGCAGGTTGTAGCACCGGCTGAAGTGGGCGAAATGGTTACCGCTGCTGCTGTTGGCGAAGGAGAGGTGGGCACAGGAGCGAACGAGGGTGGCATGGGTGCAGAGAGCTTCGTGCAAGGCGACGGGGGAATGGCGACAACAGCAGAAGCGCAAGGGACGGTGGCAGAGGGAGAGGGGGCGGCGGGGTATTCTCAACGCATGGAGGCAGTTTCTGAGGGACAGTATGGGGAGGAGGCAGCAGTGCCTGGGGCGCTCGGGGAAGGCGGAGGGGGAGGGGGCGGGGGAGAGGGCGAGTATGCTGATGCGCACATGGAAGCGGGAGGGGAAGGGGGAGAAGGTGGCGCGCTAGTGCCTGTTGCAGGGCAGGCGGAAGCAGGAGCAGCAGCAGGCGGGGAAGGGGGAGTAGCACCTGGGGGCGAGGGGGCAGCGGCAGCAGCAGCGGAAGCAGCAGCAGCAGAGGCAGCGGCGGAGGTGGCGGCGCACATAGAGGCGGCAGAGAGGGTGGTGGTGCAGTCGCAGCTGCCGCAGCCCCCACCGTGCCCCGCTGTGGGCAACGTGGCGGTGCTGCCCATGCTGCTGGACCAGATCGAAGCTCACATCCTCTTCTACGGCCGCATCTTGTGAGTGCCATGACTGTATAAGGTGTGACTGTACAAGGTACACGGTGCTGCTAGTGAGAGGGTTGGGTGGCTGTGAGCGGTGGGGAACGTGGCGGTGCTGCCGATGCGGCTGGACCAGATCGAGGCGCACATCCTCTTCTACGGCCGTATCTTGTGAGTGCCGCGCCTGGGTGCTGGAACTGGGTGCTTTGGTGTGCCGTGACCGGGTGCTGGGACTGGGACTGTGCTGTGCCCCCATCCCCTGCCCCCATTCCCCATCCCCCTCATCCACCCACAGCCTCTATCCCCCGTGCATCACAGGCTGGTGTTCGCCACAGTGCCCTCTTAACTCGGCTCGCCCACTTCCTTTCCCTCATCCCCTGCCCCCATTCCGCACCACCATTCCGCACCATTCCACACCACCATTCCTCACCCACTGCTGCATGTCCCTCCCCCCATCCCCCTCTGCAGTCGCAAGGAGCCGCTAGAGGAGGAGCTGCGAGCGCTGGTGTTCGCCACCGTGCCCTCTCAACTCGCCTCGCCCGACCACCACCGCTGGCTCGAGATCGCCGATGCCTGGCGCCGCCGCAGAGAGGCCGCCCCTGCCGCCCTCCTCCTGGACGGCGGTGGGGCGGCAGCGGGCGGGGGCGGGTATGTGTCCCCGGATGGTGTGAGGGGCCGCGGGCGGGGCAGGGGGAGGGGCAGGGGGCGCAGGGGGAGGAGGGGGAGCATGCATGCGTATGGGTATGGCGGAGGCAGGGGGGAGGGGGGGTACGGGGGTTACGGGGGATATGGGGGGAGCGGGGGCTTTGAGGGGTATGGGATGGGGGAGATGGGAGGAGGGATGGGTGGGGAGGGCGGAGTGATGGTGCCGAGCGGGTATGGCGAGTATCCCATGCACATGGGCGCGGATGGTATGCCCATGCCCATGGACCCCCATGCCATGGCCATGGGCATGGGGGACATGGGGGACATGGGGCAGTTAGCGCTGGGGAACGGGGAGCCATGGGTGTGGGACGATGAGGGGTGGGACGCCCCCGGGATTGCCATCCGCGGGCGCGGCAGGGGCAGGGGGCGTGGCAGGGGGCGGGGGCGGGGGAGGGGGAGGGGGCGCGGGCGCAGCTGGCACCTGGTGGGGGTGGAGATCGTCCCCTCGTACGGGTCTGATGGGGAGGAGATGGGCGCAGAGGGGGAGGAGCGGGCGGGGGGCGCAGGGGGAGGCGCAGGGGGAGGGGGAGCATCTATGGGCACGCGGCCAGTGGTGGCATGGGCGGAGGTGTGGCCGGGGAAGCTGGAGGAGCTGGTGGATAGGAAGGACCATGCGGGGGTGGCTGCCGCCCAGGTCATGACGGCCGCTGTGGTGGCCCGGGCGGCGTCGGCAGCGGTGCGGGCGGCAGCAGAGGCGGTGGCGGTGTTCAAAGAGAGGGCGGTGGCTGCTGCCTGGGCGGAGAAGCAGGGGGGTGCGGGGGCGAACGGGGCGCTTGGGGGATATGGGGGGCATGGGGGGTATGGCGTGCATGGCGGGAATGGGGGGTATGGAGGGTATGGTGCAGGTGCGACGTGGCAGGAGGCCACTGGCGCAGGGTCCCCGTTTGCGGAGTCCCCCTGGGCGCCTGAGCCTCCTCTCCCCCTGACGTCCGTGGCTAGTGTGGCGCGGGGCAGGGGGAGGGGCAGGGGGAGGGGACGGGGGAGGGGGAGGGGCCGGGGGAGGGGCAGCAGGGGCGGGGGGCGTGGCAGGAGCTACTACTACGGCGCGTATGATATGGAGGAAGAGGAGGAGGAGCCGGAGGAGGACGACGAGGGGGACGAGTTTGTGGCGTATGGAGGGGTGGAGGAAGTGGGCGGGTATGGGGAGATGGGGGGGAGTGTGCTGGGCAAGAGGGGGAGGGGGAGGGCGAGTGAGGGGCAGGAGTTAGAACACACAATGCGGCGCGCTGTGGGGTTCCTGGAGGGTAGGGGGGGAGAGGAGGAGGAAGAGGAGGAGGTAGTGGTGGTGGAGGATGAAGAGGAGGGGGAGGAAGAGGAGGAGGAGGAGAGGAGGGTGTGGGGGTTGAAGCTGCCGCACGGGTTCCATGTGGGCACTCCTGTGGAGGTAAGCAGCAGTCATTGGGAGGGAGGGGCCTTGTATGGCGATTCCTGCAAGAGATTCCGTAGCGGGCTGAAGCATTGCACGCCCGTGCCACATGGTGCTGTGTGCACCGCCTTCCCACTCCCCCGCCACTCTGGTTCGCTGTTCTCTCATCCGCCTGCCTGCACACGCATCCATGACCTTCTCTCCTTCTCTCTTTGCCTCCTTGTCTCTGTGCCTCCTTGTCTCCCCGCCGCCGCTCTGTGTCTGCTGCTGCCCATGGTGAGCACAGGTGGCGTCGAACGAGGAGGGGTTGAGGGGCAGCTGGTTCACGGGCACGGTGCTGCAGCTCGATGCACGGCGGGCGCTCGTCCGATACGACCAGCTGCTGGACGACGCGGGTGAGCAATGATGGCGCTGCTAGTAAGCTGGCCTTGATTCTTCTGCCAGGATGACTATGCCCTCTGCTCACCCTGTTCCTCTGTCCGCCCCCATTTCTCCCGTCAGGGTATCTGCTCCTCTCGCACTTCCCCATCTACCTCACATTTTTCTTTCACTCGCCCAGCATCCCTTTTTCTCGCTTCCCTTACTGCCTACCCTCGCTCATGCCTCGCTCATGCCTCGCTCATGCCTCGCTCATCCGCCCCTCATCCCCTACTCCCCAACTTGACAGGCACCTATCACCTCGAGGAGTGGGTTTCTACTGCCCCCCCTCCCCCCGCCCCCTCCTCCTCCGCCTCCCCCCATCCTCCCCACCTCGTCTCTGGCGTTCCCCCTCCCCCTCCCCCGCACCTCCCCCCGGGAGGAGAGCCACAGCGCTGCCTGCGCCCTGCCAGGCCCCCCTATGCGGGGGCGGGGGCGGTGGGGCGCAGGGGGAGGGGCAGGGGGGGCGGGGGGAAGAGGCGCAGGGGAGGGGGAGGGGTGGGGTGGAGCGTGGGCGACCACGTGGATGCTTGGGTGGATGACGGGTGAGTGGGGTGTGAGTGGGGGGCGAGTGGGGGTTGAGTGAGGGAGTGAGTGGGAGCTGCAAGCTCAATGCATGCCAGGGTGAGTTGTGGTTTGAGTCGATAAAGAACACGATTCTGGCCTGGAATGTGTCCCCGCTGCTGCCCTGCCCCTCCCTCTTGCTGTCACGTGCCGTTCCTCCCGCCTCCCCTCCCTGCCGCTACTTGTCGCACTGACAGAGTTGTAAAGGTCACCTTCCTCTGCACACTCTCTTCCTCTCACCCCCACGCTTTGCTGTCCCTCGTGGCCTCTCTGTATTCCCCACCTCCCTCCTCCTCCCTCTAACCTCCACCTCCCTGCTATCATCCCCACACTCATCCCCTGTCCATCCTGTTATCCAATGCTGCATGCTGTGTCCTGCTCTCCCCCCCCCAACGGCAGGTGGTGGGAGGGGGTGATAACAGCGCTGCCAGACGATCCAGCAGCCAGCATGGCCACTGTCGAGTTCCCAGGTCAGTGCCGCCGCTCTCCCTTCCGCTCTCTCGCCCACCCAGTACCCATTTCAATTGTCGTTGTGGGCCGTCCGCCACTTGCTGGTGTCCTGATCCCCTCATTTTCCTTGCTCGCCTCCGTTCCGCCGTCCCCCCTGTTCCTCTCGTTCGCCCCATCTCCCCATTTCCCCCTCAGGCTATGGGGAGATGGCGCAGAAGCAGCTGACGTGGCAGCAGCTGCGGCCATCGATGGTGTTTGATGTGCGCGGAAGGGAGTGGGTGATGGTGCGCGCCCAGGCCGTGGGGGAGGGGGCGCAGGAGGTGGAGGTGGAGGAGGAGGATGATGAGGTGGAGGAGGTGGTTCCGGCTCCCATGGGGCATGTCAGGGTGAGTGGGTGATGGGTGATGTGCGATGGGTGTGTGCGATGGGTGTGTGCGATGGGTGTGTGCGATGGGTGTGTGCGATGGGTGTGTGTGATGGGCTATGGGTCATGGGCTATGGGTGATGGGTGATGGGTGGTGGGGGATGGGTGATAGTCAACTAGTTGCTGGTGCTATCCCTGTTGGCACCCACTGCTGCACCCTAGTTGCTCGTTCGCTCCTCGTTTCCCCCACTCGCCCTCTGTGTGCCTCGTGCATCGCTGCCCACGCACCTCTCTCTCTCTGCACGCATACTCACTGTCCATCTCATCCTTGCACCCACCACCGGATCACCAATGACACACAGAATAGATCATTGCATGAAATCCTTGTCATATTTCTATTCTCCCGTACCCGCCTCCCCCACTCCAACCCCCCAACCCTGCGTTTCTCCCCACCTTTCCCCCCCCCTGTTCCCCGCACTCTTTTCCTCCCCTTATCTCTCCCCCCCATATTCTTCCTCTTTCCCCCCCGCGTTTCTCCCCCCTCCCCCCTGCCTGCAGGACCCGGCACTGCCGAGGCCGAGGGGGCGGCCCCCCTTGCATGGCAGGGGAAGGGGCCAGGCGAGGGGCAGGGGCAGAGGCAGGGGCAGGGGGCGAGGGAGAGCGCGAGGCAGGGGGAGGGTCCCTTGGTACTGAAGGTACGTGGCCTTTTTCTTCAATAATTATACTATTTTTGCAGAGATTAGAACGTCCATCGTCATATGCAGCATTGCTTCACTTTGTACAAATATATTTTCCGCCCTATATCCTCTACTCTGTCATCCCTCTTTCAGCTAACGCCCAGTATCGGCTGGGCCTAAGAGAGCCATGGCTTCCTAACATCAAGCAAGGTAGCTGATTGGTTTCTCCTATGGGTTTGACTAATTGGTTTCTCCTATGGGTTTGAACAAGCATAGTGACCATATGGGTTTGTCTAATTGGTTTCTAATTTACGTAGTCTCTAAGATATACTCGACTTGGTTATTTTCCTCTTTTGGGGCTCGTAGATAGGGTTTCATTGTGTGTGCTTTTGTACGTACGACTACTCTAGTCTTAAAAATGTAAACCTAGTATTGAATCCACGAACCAGTCTACAAGGTGTATCCTGTGTGTGTCTTGGGCTTGAACACTTGAATTCAAGTCTGTGAGACCTGCACCCAGCGCCTGCGCCAGAAGCCCTCAGGGCGGGAAACATTTTGAACTTGAGTTTGAAAAAGAGCGCGGTCAGCTCTCTGCGACACTTTTTTAAATTGAAACCCAAGGGTCCAAGACCGCACCGCTATTCGCAATGCTCCAGGCGACGGCCAGCTGCGACGATGGAGCGCGGCCACCCCGAGACGCGGATGATTGTACCGCGCCAACGCTTTCTCCACCGTTCACCCTCTCGTTCGCCCCTTTCTTTAATTGTGAGTCGTCCGATCTACCCTGTGTTCCTAGGCTCCATCTCGCCGTGCGATTTGAACATCCAGCAATTTGCCTTCTTGAGTCGCGACCGAATGCTTGCGCCAAAACAACATACCGTTCTGTCACTTATTTGACCAGAAAGAGCCGATAGCACGAGTACCGAGGGCCGGTTCGAGCCCTTCCGTCTACGAAGCACATCTTATGAAAACCAAGGAATTGACTCATTTCTGCTGGTTCATCCCATTCACTCACAGCACCACCTCGGTGCATCCTTTAGCACAGCGCTTCCTCGTTCCAGGTTTTCTCTTAGCTTCAAGAAACCCTGCAATCTTCAAGTCAGAGTAGATTCGTTCAGAGACTCTTCGTCGTTCCTTTTCGTCAACCGTCATGCGACGGAGATTGAGCAGCATGGCTCGGAGGTCCACGATCCGAGCGTTCGTCGGTCTTGCCCTCGCGCTTACCGCGTCGGCACTCGTGATCGATCCCACAGACCCCTCGTCCCTAGGTATGGACGTCACCCATCCACGCTCTCCAGTGACCTCTATTCTCTAGTCCCTCGAGCACGTGATTTGCAGCAGTCAAGCCAGAAAAGCCAGTTGTTGCACATATAATCCCCCACCTTTTGCACCACCGAAACCCCTCTTTTTCCTCCATATTACTTTTCCTCGCCCTCTCTTTCACCCGGCCCGCCTTTCTCCGCGTGATTCGCACTTTCAATCTGACTCGCCTTTAAAAATTCCTGTTGCGTGGCTGGCGCGCGGAATGGCAGGGCAACTGGAGGCGATGCAGGAGCTGAAGCTCGGCTTCGAGGGGAGCAAGCCCTCTGCGCTCGCCACGTGGACCACCAGCGACCCCTGTGACGGCACGTGGGTCGGCGTCACGTGCGCGCGGCCCGGCGTCATCACTAGACTGTAAGTACGAAGGAACGAACAGCGACGATGCTTCAAACTTCATTCGCACGCTTCGTTTTCGTTTCAGGCTTCTCCTTTTGTGTGCATCCTCAGTGTACGTCGGTCGCACTCCCACCATCACGCACTTATGTTCCTCCCCACCCGATCCTCATCCTGCGACGCGCAGCGATTTGTGCGACATGGGCATCGCAGGCGCGTTGTCGCCGTTCATCGGCAACCTCACGGGGCTGCTGCAGCTGCGGCTGTGCAACAACCAGATCGCCGGACAGATCCCTCCCGAGCTCGGCAAGCTGTACTCGGTACAAGAAGTCGAGCTACAGAACAATAAATTCACGGGCGAGCTGCCTACCGAGTTGGGCGGCATGGCGACGTGCACGCACCTTTACCTCTACGGGAACAATCTCTCCGGCGCCATCCCTGCCGCTCTTAAAGCCGTCACTTACCTCAAGCTGGGTCCTGGAAATCGTTTTTGCAGCACGGTTCCCGGCTCGCCGTGCGCTGGCGCGTCGGCGGAGCCGCTCCCCGCAACTCCCGCTCCGGTGGAGGACCCCGCGGATGAGGCGGGAAGCCTCCCTCCGCTGATCACCGCGCCACTCCCCAACTGTCCGCCGTGTGCGGGGGACGATCTGCCCGGGCTCGAGGACGGGTGCACGTGCGCCAAGCCGTCGCTGCTCAAGATTCGTTTCAAGGACCTGGACTTCGCGGCTTATAACGCGAATCAGGAGGACGTGCTGCTCGGCGAGCTGTCCCGCGCGCTGCAGCTGGAGCCACGTCAGCTGATGGTGATCGGGCGCGAGCCGGGCAGCGTGATCCTGTACCTGGCGGTGCTGCCCGTGAACGGGTCGGCGCTGGACGCGCGGCAGGAGGCGAAGATAGTGGACGCCGTCACGGGCCACCGCGTGATTCTATCCAAGGCCTTCAAAGACTACGAAGTGCTCGGTACGGTCACGCGCTCTCCCTTTCCCTTGTGCCATTCAATTTATGGGGAGTTACGGCTTGATATGTTCCCGTATTCCATGCAGTGCCGTCTCCTCCTGATTCCGTGGCCGTGCGTCTAAGCGCCATCTTCTTCTTGTTCTTGTTCCTCATTCCACCTTTTCTTCCGTTTCAGGAGCGCCCGGCCTCGCGTTCAAGCCGTCGCAAGAGTCGCAGAACGCCGACGCCGAGTCGTCTTCCGCGTCTTCCGGCGCATCTTCCGGCCTCAGCACCGGAGCCATCATCGGCATCGTTGTCGCGTCGCTCGCGGCCGCGCTGGTTATCGCGGCGCTCTTCTGCCAGCTGCTGACGTGGCGCCGCGACAGGAACGCCGCGCGCCGAGCTGACGTGGAGAACTCGCGGATGGCCAAGGTGCTGACGGGCAGCATCGAGGCGCCGTACAGGCCGCACGGGAAGAACTGTGAGTGTAACGATTTGTGTGGCGCTTCGTGAGTAATCCAACCAGTAGGTCACGCCACCTGTGCTGCTGTTGTCGCCACGTCATCTTTCCCGCTCCTGCGTCTACCTCTCGCTCACTTTCTCATTGCAACGTCTCCCCCCCTTCCCTACCCCCCCGCCCCCGCCATCCTCCTTTCCGCTTCCGCCAGCCATCTGGGGAAGGTGGGATTTGCCACGTGGCAGCCCCTTTCCGCCCGTCAAGCCGTCGATCTCAGGAGGCAACTCGTTTAACGAGCCCGCGCTCTCCTTCCGCAGCGGCATCCCCGGCACCCCCGCCGGGGCGCACGCGAATGGCTGCGGCGACAGCGTCGCGGGAACGCCGCGCGACACGCCCGGAGTGTCGGAGCGAAGCTTCGCGTTCCAAGGCGCGAGCTCGCCCACCTCCCCCGCGAACACCGCCGGATTGTGCGGCGGCGACAACGGCGACGACCCGCGGACTCCGGAAATCGGGACGACGCGGACGGTGGGCGACGCGGAGGGCGGAGGCACCCCTCAGGAGGTGATGGAGATTAAAAAAATCGGTCTCAAGGCTATCCACGCGGCGACGCAGGGGTATTCGAAGGCGAACTTGATCGGCGACCGCGGGCACGGGCGCATGTACAAGGCGGACTTCTCGAGCAAGGCGCGCGTGCAGATGGCGGTGCTGCTCGAGCTCTCCGGGGAGAAGCTCGACGAGGCGGAATTCGCGGCGGCGGTCAAGGCGCTGGGGGACCTGTGCGTGCAGTCGAACCGCCTCGTGGCGATCATGGCGTATTGCGCGGATAAGGGCCAGCGGTGGGTGGCCTATGAGTATCTGCCAGGTGGCAGCCTCAAGGACCACCTGCACGGGGACCTGCGCTTCGAGCGCGCGCTGACGTGGCAGAAGCGCGTGCAGATCGCGGTCGACGTGGCCGCGGCGCTGGAGTTTTTGCATGAACAGTGCGAGCCGCTCGTGATTCACCGCGACGTGTCGGCCGACAACGTGGTGCTGGACGGCGAGCTGCGCGCGAAGATTAAAGACGTCGGCATCCACACGCTCGTGCGCGATTGGTCGGAGGGCCGCGCCGTGTCGCCGTCCGTGCTGGGGTCCATGGGGTACCAGGCGCCCGAGTTCCGCGTGAGCGGCGAGCAGACGGCGCGGTCCGACGTGTTCAGCTTCGGCGTGGTGCTGCTGGAGCTGCTAACCGGCCGGAAGCCCGTTGACTCGTCGCGACCCAAGGGGCAGCAGTCGCTGCTGACGTGGGTGCTGCCGCACCTGGAGAACAGGCTCGCCGTGACGAGCCTGGTGGACCCGTACCTGCGGCTCAACTCGACGCTCGACCCCAAGTCGCTGCACCTGTTCGCGCTGGTGGCTGCGCACTGCCTGCAGCACGAGCCCGAGGACCGCCCGCGCATGGCGGAGGTGCACAGCCAGCTGCAGCACCTGCTGCTCTCGCTCTCCCCCGACGGCCTCCCCTCCCCCATCTCCCCCAACGCGGCCTCCGCCTCCCCCCTCTCTCCCGCCTCCCCCGCCTCCCCCATGTCCCCCATCCCCAACCTCACCGCCGCGTCCCCCTGCACCCACGCTCCGGTGAGTTGTGCCTTGGATTTTTCATGTTGGCGCCTGCTTCTGCTTTCTCGTGCTTTCTTGTGCTTGCATGTTTGCGCTTCTCATGCACACACTGGTGCCTGCTCAACTTCGTCTGCTTCTCCCAGTCTCATTCCCGCTCCCACGCCCTCTTACACCGGTCCTCATCCCTCTCCGCCCCTTTCTCCCCCTGTGCAGAGCCCTGATGCGGAGAACGAGAGCTGCTCGGTGGCGGATTCAGGCACCACGAGTGGCACGCACGTGTCACACTCAGCACGGCGCTACGACCAGAAACGCTGGGTGCAGGTTACCCCCGGCCCCAACACTGCCGTCAAGACCCACGCTAGTGCCGTGACTCCCGCTGCTGGTGCCGCTGCTGGTGTGGCGAATGTGCGCTCACCACTTGCGCCGGTGATCAACCTGTGAGGAAACGTGGGGTTTGCGACTACTACGGTATCCACGTGTGACTGACTACTGCACGGCATGGCATGCGATGCCGGTCCCTGCAGCACTAGACCCTCTGACACCCCGTTCTCTACGGCTCTCTAGCCAACTCCTAGGATCATTCTCCCCGTGATCCCCTCTCCCTCCTGCTTCATGCCTCTAGTTAATTAGCTACGTTACCTTATGTTCTAGAAGGTTAGATGAATGGAAGTGTCAAGGGCCAACCCAGCCCTGCAGTTAGGAGTAGAAGTACTGTGAAACACGTGTTCTGATTGGCATCTGACATCTAGGTTTCCGTGATCCATGATCCATGCTAACAGATGTGTACTGCACCCTCCTTGGAAGTCAGTTTTTTGTTCTTCTGAACACTGCATACTGCGACCAGGTACACATGCAACTCACTGTACAATGATGACAACAACAGAAGCAGACAAAACAGAAGTTGGTAGGCAGTGTCATGTTTGCGCATGGGTAACCAGAGGCGTCAACTCTACATCCCCTGTGTCATCTGCCTTGCTCTCTGCTGCAGGAGACAGGGCAGATGCTGCCGTCATAACCCCATGCTCTCCCTTAACCCCCCCATACTCTGCCTTAGGCTCACGGGATAGCAGCACCATTAGGACATACCCGACAGTGACTATGGCAGACCAGAGTATAAAGCGGATGAAGGCGGAGGTGTCGAGGGAGGCGAGGAGCACCGTGTTGATGAGGATGGAGGCGGAGGGCAGCCACGGGCACAGCGGCACTGAGAACACCCGCGTGGCCTCCGCTTCCCTGCAGCACTGGGGGGGGAAATGAATGGGGGGAGAGTGTGGGGCGGAAATAGGGGAAAATGTAGGGGGGATGAGGGGAAATGGAGGAAGAATTTGGGGCGGAGGGAGGAGAGATGAGGGAGCGTAAGTGGAGGAATTGGAAATGAGGAGAACGAGGGCAAAAGGCAAGAGGGGGTTCCAAGGGGATGAGGCAGAAGAGGGAAAGGGGAACAAGAGCAAGAATGCATAGCCACAGCTTGCCTGCGACGCTGGGGAGAGGGGAAGGCGGAGGAAGGGGAGTGAGTGGGAGGGAATGGCGGAGTAGAGGGAGAGCAGAGGGAGTAAGAGCAGAGGGACGCACGGCAAGGGAGGCGGTGGCAGCAGCCCAGAGGGAGGCGGAGAGCAGCGCGGGTGCAGTGTGGCCCGGGAGCACTCTGAACGCCACTGCCACGCCTGCTGCCCCCCCCACCATCACACCCAGATGCATCAGCACCACCCCCATGCCCTCCCCGCCACCCTGCTTCTGTTTTTGCCATCCCTTGGCGGTTCCCTCAGTGGTTTGTCCATTCTCGCTCTGCTGCCGTGCAGCTTGCACTTGATGTTTTCGCGGTGAGAGCACAGCAGGTGGGTTGACCTCACAAGGTCGGGAGTGACATTCGTTTGCCATCAAAGGGACTCCATCATCTCCTGCTGCTTCTGCTGCTGCCTCTTCTACTACGTTTCTCCCCACTCCTGCTCCTTCTGATGCTGCTGTATGTGCAGAAGCAGCGGCAGGAATGGGAGCGAGGGGTGGCAGGGTGACGCGGGGGTGGTAGCGGTGCAGGAGGAGGGCGAGGGCGACCATGAGGAAGATGAGCAGCGTGCCGATGGACACCATGCTGGCTAGCGTCTCCAGATCCACCAGTAGTGCGATGACACCTGTCGCCACACCTGCGAGAGAATAGAGCAGAGGAATGGGGTTCAGTTGAAGTTTACCTGTTCTAAGATCCGAAGTGATGGGATGAGGCATGAAGACGGTGTGATTGAGCACCTAGCATGCACTGTGGGCAATCATGGTGACTGCTGGCAAGATGCAGGGGCAGAGAGTGCTCGCACGCACAGCCCACCACAGGGACCAACGAGACCATAGCAACGCACCAAGGACAGCCGTCGCAAAGAGAGGTGTGCGCGTCACAGGTGACACCGAAGCAAACTGCTTCGGCAGAAGCTCAGCCCGAGCCACCACCAGCACGATCCGAGCCTGACCCATCAGCCCCACCAGCACCGCAGTCACTATGGCTAGCAGCGCCCCTGCTGCCACTGCGCCTGCTGCCCAATCCCACCCTGCCAGCTGGCGCAACGCGGAGGAGAAGGGAGCGTCGGCGTCAATCTGAGTGTAGGGCACGAGAAGGCAGAGGGAGAGCGCCATGAAGCCGTAGACCAGAGCCACCACAGCCACCGATCCGACGATACCTATCGGGAGATCAAAGGCCGGATTCGCGACTTCTTCTGCGAGTGTGGTAACCGCATCAAAGCCGATAAAACAGAAGTAGACGAGCGCTGCTGCGTCCAGCATGCCCTGCAGGCCGAACGGAGCAAAGGAAGCGGTGACGTTTTCCAGGCTGCCTGCTGTGAAGCCAGCAACGATAATGATGGCAATGGCAAGCATGCTGAGACCGGAGGCAAGGAAGTTGAAGTAGGACGATTCCTGGGTGCCGTATGCCACCAGCACGGACAGGGACAGGATCAGCCCCAGCGCAACAAAATCCAGGGTAATTCCCCATGCTGGCACGGGCAGCCGGAAAATTTCCGGGTCCTGCCCGAGGAACCCTGCGAAGTAGGCGGAGAGGCCGCGGGCAGCAGCGGCGTTGGAGAGAATGTACTCCATAAGGAGATTCGCTACTGTGATGAAGGCTGGGAGCTCGCCTAGCGTGACCATGAGGTAGGAGAAGGCGCCGCCCGCTACAGGCAGGTGGACGGCAAACTCGGTGTAGCAGAGGGCGGAGAGGAGTGCTGACGTGGCAGAGAGGAGGTACGAGAGGATGACAGAGGGGCCGGCGTGGTCTCGAGCCGCCACCCCTGTGATGACAAACACGCCTGTGATTGTAGTGCGGGGGAGAAGGAAAGAGGGGGAAGGAGGGGGGGTGGGTGGGGGGATGGGGAGGGAGAGGGAGGAGAGGCGACGAGATGGGGGTGTTGGTGAGGGGGAGGTGACATAGCAGGAGGAATGGGAGCGGACGAAAGGGGGACAGATGAGGAAGTTGGATGCACGGAAGGGAGAGGCACATAAGATCATGGGAGGTGGAGAAAATCGTACAAGGCACTACGATGCTTGATCATGCAGTACAATACTATATGGTGTTTCATGGTGTTGTACGGTGCTGTACGGTGCTCTACGGTGCTGCACGGACCCGCGCCGATGATGCTGGCGACCCCCAGCGAGATCGTGTCCGCCCATCCCAGCGACCGCTTCAGCGTCGCTTCTCCGCCGCTCCCGCCACCCCATTCCGCCGCCTCGGTGCTCTCCGCTTCCCCAGTCCTACTGCCCCTGTCCTTAACCGTCGATGTGCAATGCGGGGATCGCGGTGAGTGCCACGTGTCGATTCCAGCAGCATCTGAGCTGGCGAAGAGCGTGCTGACCTCCTGCACGCGGAACACGAGCGAGCGGAGCCGCTGCAATGGCGTGGCTGGGTCCCGCCGTGACGGCATTGCTATACAAGCACACTGTCGCTACCACCGCATCGTTACGTACGTTACACTTGCCAGGCCGCAATGTCGTCTTGGAGTTTGTGGAGGGGGATTGATGGTGCATGACGGCACAGCTGAATTTGGTTCGTTAGAAGCTGAGCAATGACAAACGATGATATCGGTTTGTGCAATGGCATACCGTATTAACGATTTAGGGATATAGACATTAGGGGGGAACTGTAAGTGCCATGTCAAACGAATAATGTAACCCATAAAAAATCAGCACACTACATATGTTTAATAAATTATGTTACGATATGAAGTTTTATGAATAAGGCATTCCTGTATGTTGTGTTACGATATGAAGTTTTATGAGTAAGGCATTCCTGTATGCTGCAGGAGCCGACTCTACCGAGTACGAAGTCGAGAAGTCAGAAGAGTCGAAGCGACGCAGCAACCGTCTGACCAAGACCGATGCAGGCAGAAACATTTGAAGTGAAAAGAGCGGCAACAAGTTCAAAACAGGTTGCCGCGCCGCACGGTTTGAAATTGCCGTAATAAGGGAATGTACCCCTTAGAGTACATGGCTAGTCTAGGTCTTTTCGTATTCCCTTGCATTCTTATATAAACCTGATGTATGCATGCTATTATCAACTCAGTCATTTACATTCACTCTGACCTGAGATTCAAACCTTCCGCTGCAACACTACTCTGCGATCAACCCTGAGCGATCCTTCGCTAAGTCCCACTTGGGATTGTAACATGATATGAGAGCTACTCAGAGATTCTTCGCAACCTCACTTCCGTGAAATTCGCCGAACCAAGATCTGGCGAGCGGCACACGCTCCAAGACCAAGATGGCCGGAGGATCCGGAGGCCAAGCAAATCTAACGGCTGAAGGACAATCCAACCCGGCTGCGACAAATGAGGCGACAACTACGATCGGCACTGCCGCTCTCGAGCAACTTTTCGCTCGACTTTCAACTATGGAGAAAGAACTCCAAGACCTGCGCAAAGGCGATGCGGGAACCTCTTCCCAACCAGGACAACCTGGACAACCGGCTGAGAAAAGCCGTGATACCGCCGCGCACACCTTCTCCCTCGACACAGACAAATCAACAACAACTGCCCCCCGTCCAAGTGATGAAGCTATCAACTCTGCGCAAACACGCTTCCTTAGCGTCTCAAAAATCAAGACTACTGCCGCGTTTGACGGCAAGGACTTTTACACATGGAGTTTTGAGCTTGAGCTCCTCCTACAAACGACGCAGATCTACCATTACTTCGACGGCTCCTATCCCAAACCGGTGGAAAACACCGACGTCGCCAGGGCTCAGTACTACAGCGAGTCCTTCATGGCCTACAGTGTGCTGCTACGAAACATGACGCCTGCGGAACAACTCAACATTCGCTCCTACAAAGAGAGTGACGCTCCAGCCATGGAAGCTTGGAAGCACCTCGTTGAGGTTTATCAGCCGAAGGACTCGGTCACCGCCAGCAGGCTTCTGCAGCAACTTCTGGAGATAAAAATGGGGCACGGGGAGAAGACAAATCCTTATATTAACCGCTGTCGCAACATTCGTGACCAGATCACGAAGCATGGGAGTACGATCTCGGAAGAGATCTTTGTTAATATAGTCCTTCAAGGACTCGGGCCAGAGTGGAAGCCCTGTAAAGCGCTACTCCGACAGCGAGGAATCATCTCCGAAGCTGCGCTATGCGCCGCACTCATGTCCGAACAGCAGGACATGGACTCGAGCAGAACAAGCTCCGCGCCGCGCCGAGAGCGTCTCACCTTCTACGCGGACAACCGAGAAGAGCGACGACAACCAAGGCGCCATTATTGCAAAATATGCAAAGTCTTCGGACATTCAACGGATCGATGCAAATCCCGATCCACCTTCCGCCACCCAAATTCCACTCACCATAACAATTGGGTCGGCCGACAAGACGCTCGTCATTCTCAACCTCAACATCAGCAAACTCGTTCCCCTGCACTGCATCAACACCAACAAAATCAAGGATCTCAGTTAGGAGCCCCCAGGAACATCATCGCGAACATGGCGACGCGCCGCCGCCGTGCTACTGAACCTGGCGAAGAGAACGAAGTCCAAGGAAGACTTCTGGAACCAGAAGAGGGATGGAACAATCCCCTCACTGAGGACCACTACTACGACTATGACGAAGACGAGAAGGATTGGAATCAGCCAATCACACTGCGGGAGAGCCCGCCACACGACAATCAGCGCTACGTACCAGTGGGATGGAAGGAGGACGAAGACCCTTCCTTTCACAGACGCTACAAGGCCACCTTGGTGACTCCGCGATTGGCGCTACTCCTGCGCCGAAACAACACTGACAACTATAACACCTGGTACCTGGACAGCTGCTGCGGGCAGCACATGGTGGGATCCACGCGATACGTCTCTAACCTGAGCCGCGCTCCCGCTACCTACGTCACCGTCGCCAACAACGAGCGGTTGCGCGCCAACTCACAAGGCCTTGTCGTCCTGCAAGCACGAGACAGTAACACCCACATCTCATTCAACGACGTGCTCTACGTCCCGAACCTCCGTTTTAATCTGCTCTCGGCTGGACAACTCCGCGACTGTGGCGTCATAATCCACACGGATCTTGCCACGCGCGACCTCATCCTCACCTATGCTCCCCCGGACACACCTCCTGAGACGTTCAAGTACCTCGGACGAGCCCGCTCAATCAACGAGATCTACATCCTGGACTTCGACATACCTTCTTGTCAAGCGTCATCGGACGAGCTCGTGGATCTTGTTCCCCTCGAGTTCGCCTTCATGAACCAGGAGTCATGGGAGCATCCGGACGGACGACTGTGGGTTCGCCGCAGCCCTCACTCCCGCGAGATCAACTTGCACGAGCCAGACATCAACGGCCTTTGCACAACCTGCCACACGCCCACCGCAAGTCGCACGGAGCAAGTCGAAAGAGAGCAAGCGGCGATTCAAGAAGCAGAAAGCGCCGAGGCGGAACCTACCGGCATGACAAATGAGGAACTTGCTGTGTCATCTTACCGTGTCTTCGGCCAAGCAATCAAGGCCTACGAGCTACCGCGATCGGAAAGGGCAACGCCATACTCGGACAACCTCAAGTTCGTCCTAGAGGCCAACACCACAACCAAAGGCGAGGAAGGGCGCGAGCGCCCATACACCCGCGAAGTTTACCGCCGCCACATCGACCCTGCTTGGAAAGATCCTGACGAACCAGAAGAGCTGAGCGTCAAGGAAGAACAGGATAAGGCACGGGCGGAAAAGAAACTGAAGTTGTATGAGGAGCGCGTCGCGGCAAGATGGGACGAAGAGTCCGCACGCCGTGGCGCATGGGGAGATGAGGATTACAAACCAGAAGAAGGTGCAACCTGGGCATCCGCAACTGGAGCATGGGGAGCCAGCGCCAGCGACACGGCCACCACGGGAGGATGGGGAACGGCCGAAACCGACGAAGGGGAACTCACGCAAGAAGAATTGGAGGAAGCTGAACGAGAAATGCAGGCTGAGCGCGGCGAAGCACCACCTCGTGTCATCCTTCCCCTGGGGCGACCCCCCCGCTCTGGTGAACCACCTCGCTCACCTCATCGCAGGAGCAATCCCTGGTCGGAGATTGAGGAGGGGAATGTACCACCAACTCTTCCTCGGGACTCTCTTGGTCCAATCTCCCACCCAGATCCGTTTGCTCGCTTCATCGAAGGCACCACGACCCCGCTTACAATCATCCCCGACCGCGAATTTCTCGCGCTCTACCTCACAACGACACCTGCAGAAGGGGAAGCAACGGCAGAAGCAGAAAAGCCGGACAGCGAAGTAGAACCAGGAGAAGAGGAAGAACCTCCACTCCAGATCCCGCAACTCACGGCGGAGGAGGCAGCAGAGCATCGCACCCGCTACAAGCGCACCTCCGGCATTCGCGCCGAGGACGATCTCAGGCACCAGCGGATGGGCCACCCCTCGCGCCAAACACTCGCCAACTGCCTCCGCGCAAAAGTCTTCCCGCCAGGAGCACTGCTGCGCCCCGACGGGACGGAGTTACAGCATACCACCCCCCATCCGACCACCTGCACAGTCTGCCCCACAGCTGCACTCTCCCACACCGCCTATCCCTCTCTGGAACCGAGTACCAACCGCTACAAAAAGTTGGAGAAAGTTTACAGCGACTTCATCGTACTCACCTGCAATGGCATCAACGGCGAAAAGTACACTCTCGCCTTCATCGACGCCTACTCACGCCACGTATGGATCGCCAACGTTGACGCCCGCTCCAAGGCTCCGGAGGTATTCCGCATCTTCCTCGCGCACGCGCAGCGACAGTCGGGGAGGAAACTGAAGATCTGGCAGAGTGATGGGGCAAAGGAATTTCGGAGCAATGAGCTGGAGAGTGTACTCACCGAGAAGGGGATCAAGCATGAGATCTCTCTCCCCTATGCTCACCCGCAACAAGGTGTCGCCGAGAGGGTCAACCGCACACTCATGACCAAAGCCCGCGCCATCATGAACCAGTCCGGCCTGCCAAAGAAATTTTGGCCCTACGCCATGAATCATGCGGTGCGCCTGCACAACCTCCTCTCCACCACCGCCAACAGGGATAACCTGTCCCCTCACATGAAGTGGACCGGCTCAAGGGGAGACCCCTCCATGCTGAGAGTCTGGGGGTGCATGGTGCAATACCGGCCAACTTCAGCAACGATCGGCAAGTTCGTTCATCGTGCGCGCTGGGGAGTTCATGTGGGGCTCAGTCACGAGCACAAAGGCTGGCTCATTCTTGACATCGACAGCAAGGAGATCGTTCCTGCGCGTGACATCCTCTTCTATGAACGACTCACCCTGAAGCAGTGGATCGAGGACGAGCGCCGAAACCAGGCACGCGGCTATGTCAACAGCGGCCGCAGCTTCGCGACTCCAGAAGACGCAACAGCAGCGGCAGTACTGGACCGTGACGACACCGACGAACATCCCGGCATTCCTCCTCGCCCGCGCGACGACGACGACGATGACAGCGATGACGACCCCGCGCCAGGACCATCACGGCGCCAACCAGAGCCAAGCACCGCAGCACCCGGCTATGAGAGCGGAGACGACGACGTGGTGGAAGTCCACACCAACACAAACACCACCAATGTATCAGGCCTTCAACTTCTCGGCCTGCACACATCCGTCTCTACTCTTGCACGGGCCGTGGAGCCAAAGAATCCTCGCCAGGCCCTAACCGGTCCTCACGCCAAGGAGTGGCATGCTGCGATGGATGCGGAGCTCAAGGCGCTGGAATCGCGTGACACCTGGGTCCTAGTCGATCCTGCAGCAGTGAAGGGGAGGAGGGTGCTCAGCGGGAAGTGGGTTTTTCGCCTTAAAACTAACGCCAACGGCACTATTGAGCGTTTCAAGGCACGCTGGGTCGTACGCGGGTACGATTAGCGCCATGGCATCGACTTCGATCAAACCTTCGCTCCCGTCAGTCGCCACACCTCAGTTCGGATTCTACTCGCCATTGCCGCCGCGAAGCACCTACCACTGCGACAGATCGACGTAAAGAACGCGTTTCTATACGCGTTGGTGGACGCCACCATCTTCGTGGAGCAGCCGCACACCTACGGGGAAGGTGATCCCAGGGTATGTCAACTAAAGAAGTCCCTCTACGGGATCAAGTAGGCGCCTCGCCTCTGGCAGCAGCACCTGCACAAAATTCTCCTCGAAATCGGCTTCAAGCAGCTCCCACACGACCCGGGAATGTACCGCCTTCACTTCAGTGGAGACTACATCCTCCTGACAGTCTACGTCGACGACCTGCTTGACACAGGCACCTGCAACAAACTCCTCGATCAGTTTCAGGAAAATCTGGCGCAGCGCGTGGACATCACCATCAACCCCGAAGTGAAGCAGTTTTTGGGGTTAAACATCACTTACGCGCCAGAAGCAATTCATCTGTCAGCCTCCAAGTACGCAGAGCAGCTAGGGGAACGTTTCAACATTTCTCCCGCACCACTCTCAACTCCTTACCGCAGCCCCAACACCAATTACAAACCGGACAACAAACAACTGTCACCCGCAGGACTCCAACTGTACCAGCAGCAACTGGGTTGCCTGCTGTTCGCTTCCGTCACCTGCCGACCCGACCTTTCGTACATCGCTAGCCAACTGGCGCAGTATTCTCGCAAGCCAGTAGCAGAGAACCAGCTGGACTTGGAACACGCCCTGCAGTACTTCATTTCCACACCTGACATCGGGCTCTCCTACTCCACGCTGACGACGACCTCCTTCAATCTCAACGGCTACGTGGACGCATACCATGCAGCTGATCCTGAAAATTGACGGTCCCGAACCGGCTTCGTCTTTCGCCTGGAACCAACTGGGCCAATCTCCTGGAACTCGCAGAAGCAGGAGCTGGTTGCCCTGTCATCGGCCGAAGCAGAATAAATCGCCGCGACAGCAGCAGTTCGCGAAGGCCTATACCTGCAAGAGCTGTTACAGGAAGCGAAAATTCCAACTTCGCCTACCTTTCGTCTTCACTGCGACAACTAGAGTGCCATCAGGATTGCGAACAAGCCTGGTTTCGTGAACCGCACGAAGCACATCGCACTTCGGTACTTCTTCGTCAAGGACGAAATTGACCAAGGCAAAGTTGACCTCGCCTACTGCCCGACTACTGAGATGGCAGCAGACTTCCTCACCAAACGCTTGCCACGTCAGCAGTACAAGCACTGCTCTGACCTCACCGGAGTAGTCAATCGAGTCAGCTCCTCCGGCGCCCAGGAATGAAGGGGAGTGTTACGATATGAAGTTTTATGAGTAAGGCATTCCTGTATGCTGCAGGAGCCGACTCTACCGAGTACGAGGTCGAGAAGTCAGAAGAGTCGAAGCGACGCAGCAACCGTCTGACCAAGACCGATGCAGGCAGAAACATTTGAAGTGAAAAGAGCGGCAACAGGTTCAAAACAGGTTGCCGCGCCGCACGGTTTGAAATTGCCGTAATAAGGGAATGTACCCCTTAGAGTACATGGCTAGTCTAGGTCTTTTCGTATTCCCTTGTATTCTTATATAAACCTGATGTATGCATGCTATTATCAACTCAGTCATTTACATTCACTCTGACCTGAGATTCAAACCTTCCGCTGCAACACTACTCTGCGATCAACCATGAGCGATCCTTCGCTAAGTCCCACTTGGGATTGTAACAAATTATGATACTAGATAAGCGATACATCCATTGCTAATCGAATGTAAATAATATGTGAAAATTCTTTTGTCATATAGCAAAATATTAGAGCATAAAGGTGTTTCTGTATCCCCGCAAGTCTACATGATATATTATATCGTAGATAATGCTAAGACTGCATTTGGCCTGGTTCAATGGGCCACTTACATGTCCCATATCAATGAAGCATCCTTTTTGCTGTGAACTTCCTCATAGCCTTTTTGTATGTCGAGAACGTGAGTGTTGTTACATTCCGGTCATAAAACCATACCGCATTATTGGTAGCCACCTGTTATGAACAGCCCTGCCTTTCCGAGGTACGCGTTTGGTTGGTTGGGATTCGCTGCGAGTTGTAACGAAAGAAGTGGTTGAGGTCCGAACGAGTCTCGTGGTTCCGAAATCTATCTGACGAGAAGGGTAACCTGATTTATTGGAGTGAAAGAATAATTGGAGCTGTCAAGCACAATGCGATTCGCAGCTGATTCCTTCATTCCTTGCCAAGCCACCTTTCCTTGCATCTCACAACAATTCCCTTTCTCTCACTTTCACAAGTGTGACCCGTGCCCACTGCCCAAACCAATTTTCCAGAGCACTCACTTCTCTTCCTTGATTCGACGACTCCCTCACAGCTTCTCCAGCCACTATCGGTCCTACCCAGAATTCGAATCTAATCTCGCATGGTGATCAATGGAATCTCCATAGCCATTCTTGTCATGTTCTGCGAAGCCCGAGGCTTCTGAAAACGCCATCAACTACTCCGCCCTTCCCGGATATTGTTGGCTCTCGCTTTCCGCTTGGAACAACGGGGGATATCATCAGCAACGCCACCTTCGATACTTATTACGTTATTTCAGAGTGACACATAGGCTTTACGTAGCACCAACGGTTCTTGGCGGGTCAAGTGGATAGATAAACAGCTTACAGCGAGGACGCCCACTGATTCGCCGAACCCTGCGGCAGAAGCGGCGTGCGAACGAACAATTCTGGTGCTCGAAAGGCGCGGACTGCTTTCTTGCGGAGTGCAACTACCTGAAAACGTTTCGCCATGGCGGCTCCCTCAGCGGAGAAGAAAGGCGTAACGCCAGGGGCTTGGTCTTCTGGGCTGCTGGAATGCCACAAAGACGGAAAGACATGTTAGTCACTCGCCGAAGTCTCCCACTGTTCTTTTATTATTCGCCAATCGTCGCCATTGGTTCGGCCAACCTCGCCACTGTTATGAGACTGCCCGGAGTGGGTGCCAGCCACGAATATCTCGAAATGCCCAGAGTTTGGTGTACCCTCCATCCCCATCCTTCTCTTTCTTTTTTTTTTTCTTTTCTCCCCCTCCTTCCTGGCATCACGTGTCCTCGCAGGTCTGTGCGCGTTGTGCTGCCCCTGCGTTCTCGCTGGCCGCATCGCTGAAATCTCAACTGACGGCTTTACAGGTTCATCCCCCGCTATAACACTCTCGTTTTTCTGTTCAGCCGATCGGTTTCCGCCACTACTGCCCGACCTGCTCGTTTTTTGCCACATGCAAGTCTGACTGGGCAGTTGTCCTCACGTGGTGGTCACTGAAGAGTAGTCGACAGCTCATCGTGGCGCACGAAACAGATCGCACTCCCCTCACTGCAGACAGGTCGCACTCCTCCTTTGACCAATGATCGAGCTATCTCCCTCAACAGGACATGTGATCAATATGGCAGCGTCCTGATACAGCCGATCTGTGACCACTGGAGGAAGCCGCTAAACTGATATCAGCTAGACGCAACATCCTAGTTTGTGTGCTTAAGGAGCCGAGTGCATGCCCCTCTGCACCCGTTTTTCCCTTGCAGCCCCCTGATTATCATCACATACCACCCTTTATGTCCTTGCGACCAACATGTTCTGCTGCACTCTCCCTGTTCCCACTGCTTTTGGTGCCAACATTCCTGAACTACAAGCACATCCCATTACACCCACCTGGCCAACCTGCCGTCAAATACCATCAAGCAACCTTGACATGATCGTATCTCATGTAGAAAGTGCACATGAAGCGGTTCAGGGCAAGAATCAGGGCATCAGCATGCAGCTCTATGAGTTTATTGCCTAAATATTTTGAATGGCAGCAGTGGTTCCCCTTCTCTCATTCTTTTCTCGCTTCTCCCTCCCCCTTCCACCCCACCACCCTCAACTCCTTTTCTACGTCACTGAATGTGCGGCCACTGATATTTGCCGTGCAGACGCCACCTTTGCCTGCTGCTGCTGGGCATTGATCCAGTACTTCACGATCGGAATGTGCGGCTGCCTCTACTCTAAAGGTGACGTCTCTTCAGCCTCCATAATATCTCCAGCTACTTCGCAATTGTGATGGTTTTACACGCTCTCAATACTGACTAGTGCCCCTTCCCTATTAACTATTGCAGGCTTCCGTGGCATGCTGAGGGATAAGTATGGACTGCCCAGCAGACCCTGCATGGACGCTGCACTACACCTCTTCTGCCCTTGCTGTGCCTTTGCTCAGGAGTACCGAGAACTCAAAGCCAGGGGTTGGGACCCACGTCTAGGTAAGTTCTCTTTTCAAAGTGAACTGTTGCTGTCAGCAATTTCAGTAATCTTAGTACCCAGTGACCTCAGAGCCAAGTCCAGTCTGTGATTTTCCGGAGTCTCAGCTCCTGATGTCTGTCTCTCTTTGCAGGTTACACAGGAAATGTCCTCAACTTCAGTTCACAGAAAGTGGCTCCTTCTCCTCAACGAATGGAATAAAAACCAGTTGCCCTTCTCCCACACTAGCATAGATTATTATGTTATGCGTCATGTTGCCCTTTCCATTTTGTCTTATCATATGTATTGATGTTTCTTATGTTTCATTTTTTTCCTAAAGCTGCATAAACCACTGTGCCTACCATTGTGCACAGAAAAGAACAGCCTGTAATTCCACAACCAGCTGGCCATACATATATTATTATGGCATTTATGGACTCTTGACGCTACACAAAACGATATATACTGTAGTGTTGTGCGAGTCAGGTTGTGGTGCGGTCTGGTCAGGTGAACAGAGTGTCCCTTTCGGCTCGCTCGCCTGATCACCTCGCCATCTCCATCAGCAGATTCTCAAAATGTCTCAACACTCAGGTATCAACTTCTCGACTGCTGTCCGAAAGAGTGACGCTGATGGCTCCCCTATTGTCGAACCGCTCCAAATCACCACAATTCCAAGGTTCCCTACCAACGTTGCTGCTAGCAGCGACGGAGGAAGCATCCGGTACGATGTTAAGGTCCGACGACGGAGAAATCGAGAAGCAATCGGGAATGACTCGCATTTTTACCGATGTCTAACCCGACAGTGAAATTTTGAAATCTCAGGTCTTGAGTCAATACTCCTGCACTATCAGGATCCGCTTTCCATGAAGCCTTCAAGCCTTCGTTGCAAGCACACTCATCTGCAAGGCTGTCAGCCACGGGTTGCATGAAAGCTTACGCAAGACTGACCTCTTCGCGTGGAATCTTTCCATGGATGGCCTCCCTGAGTGGATAGCCTTTGACGGCATAATCAGGTGACGTGGTCTATAAGTTACGTTCCTTCATTATGTTCGCGCATTTCGAGGATATATCAACTCTCGATTCCCTCCTTAGAAATTTCGGGTTTCATGCTCAGTATGGAGATTCAAACTCACGGCGATGTTTACAGCGGAGATAATACTACTCACCAACAATGGCGTCATGGCGATATTGGCAGGGATAAGGATCTTTCTAATGCTGGAGACATCATCACACCAGGACCACCTCCATCGTCCTGTCATCTGCATGCTTCAGTACGTTCAACTTCTCACTGTATCCAGCCATTCATCCATGCCGAGTCTTAAACCGCTATCCCTTTAACCATGTGTTGCAGTCTCTGTCAGGCGCTGGTGTTCATCCTTCTTCAGTAAATATATCGGGTGTTGTCAAACCTTACTCGTCTGAGAATCATGGACGTCATGTGAATCACGCAAGGCGGAAGGCAATTCTAAGAGGAAATGTAAGGTTTTCTTTCAACCATGAGGTGCTTGGCTTTGCATCTTCACATAAGTATTCCTCAGTTTTTCCCTAAAAATTTACAACGCTTTTTGTTGCTCCTTGAAGGGTCGTGCTGGCTTTCTGGTCGTTGCTAATGACCGTGATGAGGAACGAAACATGGCTACTGATCCTATATGCTTCTCCGAGTCATCACCTAAACAAGGACCTTCACTTCCTCTCTTTAAAAGCGGCCAGTTGTCTGACACGTGGCTTAATTCCGGAGAACTGCAGAAAGACGACCTCCTTCAGCCAGGAGGGGAAATGATTGCAGATGGAAGAAAGGTCCAATTTCAGCAGCAGGAGAACAACTGGCAGTATTGTGGTCATTCTTTACTGCCTTACTCAAAGCATCACCAACCCTCTGGTTGGCCTGCAAGTAACTTCCCTTCGAATGAGAGCTCTTCATCCCAACCTCATGAGCATACAGCACAGGATATGCTGTCCTGCACTGCTTCCCTTGACTCTGCTCAACTTGCTGCTCAAGGAAAGTCTCTTTTTCATTTTTTAGAGGACAAATCTGCTGCTTATGCTGGAATTGAAAGCAGCCTCCCCGAGCACCAGGTGGACCAGGCAGCACCACAGTATGGTGCACAGCTGGCATTGGAGCGAGTTAGCTCGGTCCCTGTTCCGCTCCTTCAAGAAGGCTTCCACGGACATGCTTTTGAGGACTTTGATGATGGGTTTGCTGCAGGTTTATGGTCCAGCCACCCTCAGCAGGGAATCTTAATGGATTCTATGCAGGTTGATGGAAGTCAGAATGAAGCTGGTCACGAATTGGAGTTGTTAGCTATTGCTGCTCTACCTGGGTCCAGCTATACGGCTATGATGACAGGAGAAAAGGACATTCGGGATGCTGATCGTACTCATTTGGGAGCGCAATTACCACCGTTTGATGGCAAGAGCAGTGTTGCTGAAGGTGGTGGTGATGATGACGACCCGAAGAAGACTGAAGCGGAGCCCGAAGCCAAGTCTGTACCGAATATGTCGTTCATTCTTGAGGCTGCACAAGAGTTACTGATGGAGGTCTGCCGCTGCCCGACACCATCTCGCAAGTGGAGACGAAGGCACGATGGCAGCAGCTTCGGAGATGGTACCGGTCAAAGGCCATCACCAGTGTCATCGTCTGTCTGTGGTGTGAGTGGTCAAGGACAGCTGCAGACTATCCCTATCGGTGGTACCAGAGAGCAGGCACAAAGGCTTCGAGCCCTCCTTGTGGATGTAAGTTGGTATGCTGTTTCTTTCTTTTTATTTGGTCCATTACTAGGAAATGGTGTAATGATATGTTTGTCTTTGGATGATGCAGGTGGAGAAGTCATATGGAAAGTACAAGGAGCAGAATACAGCCTTAGCTGCTGCATTTGATGCTGCCACTGGCACAGATGGTTCAGCTAACATGTACACGAAACCTTCACTGCATGCAATATCAACGGCCTACCGCTCTGCCAAGGATAGTATTGAGGCAAATCTTAGAAGGTTGGCAAAATAGACTGATGTCTGTATGTTGTCTCTGACAGGTGGAAATAATTGTGAAACTCTTACCGTCTTCACTGACTCACCACCTCCAAGACAAATCTTGAAAGCAACATGTACATCCAACCATTTGGAAGTCCAATGATTACACTGAGAGGTCTTCGTTATTTCCCGGCCGAATTCAATCTGGAAGTATTTGAAGCTCTTCCATCATTTTAGCAGCAGACAGTTGCTCATCTGCGCCATCGAATGTATCTTGTTCCAGATTCCATGAAGCATCCTAGGCCGGCAAGCTGGTCGTTAACTTTTTTCTCTCAAACCTCTGAAATATCCTTATTGGCCAGAGATTCCTGCACGGAATAGGATCTCTCCTGGCTCAAGGAATCTCTCGTATCGCAGCAACTAGGTCCGCCGCCAGAGGAATGCGTTATACAACGAGTCAGACATAAAATGGTCGACATTCACTGGCGCAGTGCGCGCATGCGGCGAGTCTTTTGTGAACGCATTGACAAGTCAAACCATTAGACTCTACACCTGCTTCCTCAAGATTCAAAATTGCATTGGCCATGGCAGTCGGCGGCAATAAAAGTGGTTCTGGGGGTACCACTCGACTCGACCGGCTTCTGATTCTCCTTGATAGTACGAACGGCATCATTCCATCCACCCCGATGATTCCAGTAGCTCACGAACTGTTCCCAATTCCGCGTCGGTTACACCATGTCTCTTCCCTGCTTACTTCGCATGCTGTACTTTAGCGAAAGTGTACATCTTCTCCGTTTTACGCCTCCCGCTCCGGCCGGTTTCACCCCTTTGTTGGTCTTCTCCTCTTCCCTTTTGACGATAACGCTTAACTGTGCTCACCAGTTTCTCTTTCATTTTCCGTGTCGAAATTCTTCTTTCAGCTGGGGAAGCGGCCACGACGCGCGACACAGCCGCGCGTCAGATCGGAGAGCTAGCTAGCCTCCACAGAGCGGATTTGCATGCTCTCATTCGGCGTGTACGATCCCCAATCGTCTTCGGATGCACGTGCTTTTGGTTTCCCTGCATTCCATTCCTACTTAACCTATGCGAGCTTTATCCCTGCAGCTTGCTGTATCACCCCCACGGCTCACCTTCAATCTTGCTAGTTGGTTTCGCGTTCAAGTTCTTTTGTACTCTAGAACCATCCGTTGCTTGTTTACAAGCGACTTTTATCCCCTCTTCTGAACCCCTCTGTACAGGTGAAGAGGTTGCTGAAGAGCAGCAAATGGGATACGCGTGTGGCTGCAGCCAAGGCGTTAGGGTACATAGCTCGGAACACACCGCATCCCACAGTGCAGGACCTGCAGATTGCTGCTTCCACTGTATCTGGTGATGAAGGAACATTAGCAGCACGGAATGGCACTGCTTCTGCAGCCCCTGATGGCGAGGGTGCTGCACCAGCTGCTGCAGGAACTACTGCTGCTGGTGGTGGCTTGCGCTTCGAGGGGTAAGAAGCCTGACATTCTGACGGACGGAGTTTTAGGTGTTTGATGTCACGAACTCATATGCTGCTGAGTTTGTGTCGAAGTATGAAACCTGAATGGTCCAAGCACCTGTGTCTGCATCCATATGCTGTTTTCTTATTGTTTTCCTCTATGACGTCCCTCCATGTGCAGCTTTGACATTGGTCGTGTGTTGGACAATGGAGCACCGCTTGTGGCATCAGCTGGCAAGGTAACGCCTGCTTATAATATTGTATGCTCATAATGCATGGAGGTGTGTGATTCATGGTTGTGTTGCGTAAGTCTTGGTGATGCATTGCTGGTGGTGCAGCTTACAGCTTGGCAACCTTTTTTTTTGTTTCTGTTTATGTTGTCGATCTGGGTTTGCCGTGACATGAGATGGTGGAAATCAAGCAACAAGGCATACCGTCCCTCTGGTCCATTCTCAACAATTTGCTCCATCCATGCTGAACCTTTCACACACAACACCACATTACACCCCACGCCTACCTCTGCATCGTGTCCAATGTCACAACATAGCTAAATCTACGTCTGTCCGATCCTATGATGGCCCAGGAATATGATATTGCAGCAGTTGGGCGAGGGGGGAAGGAGGCGATTGCCAAGCAAAAGCAATCCCTACGACGGAGACTAGGTGAGATAGTATAATGGGGTCATGGTGCAACGCATGCCTTTCCGTGCACCACTGAAGGCGTAAAGCTTCAGGTTTCTAGCTCCATGTGACGCACATTGCTCTTCTGGCTTCCTTCCTCTTTTTTGAACGGCCCTTGCCATTGAATAGTGCTGACCTGAGAGTAGCGCAGTTTTAGGAATAAAAACTGTAGAGCTACTATTGGGACGAAAACGTGTAGGTGGTGAGGTGAGGGCAGGCGGTGGGGAGGGTTGATGGTGACGATGTTGAGCCAGGCTGGCGTCAGGCTGGCTGGTATAGCCAGGTCAAATACAGGTCAGTTTTCCTGAAGAGAGAGCGAGTCCCAACCAGCTAGTCATTGGAAGCACCAACCAATACGAGGTCTTTCTCTCTTCCTTCTGCACACTTTCTGTTGTCACAGGTCTGGACGAGTGTGAGCGATTCATGGATGTAAGCGATATCATTAGAGACGAGGATCTGGAAGCACCAGCGCAAGCAGCAGCACCACCAGCAACTGGTTCATCAAACCCCGCTGCAGTAGCTGTTGGCAAGCAGAAGCAGAAGCGAGAAGCTACAGCTGGAATCAAGCGTGGTGCGCAGGATCTGATGGCTGAGATGCTGCCAAGTGGCACCAGTCCGGGGGTCGGTGATGGTGGCAGTTCTGCTGGTAGTGTATCACCCGCATTGTCGAAGTCCCTTAGCGCAAGGGAGAGAAACATGCTGAAGCGGAAGGCAAAGAGCATGAGCAAGGACGGGGGGAAGAGAGGAGGGGCACATGGTGGGGTGGGGGAGGTGGATGAGGATGAGGATGGAGGGGAAGGGGAGCGGGGAGGCAGGAAAAAGATGCGGACAAAGAGTGTGGTTTCAGATGGGAAAGAGGACAATAAGGTGCGTTCGTTTATTATCTTTTGGTTGTTGCATGCGACCCATGCTTTTCACTTCACCCGGGTGTTTGAGTCGCAGCCGGGGGGGTATGCACAGAATCTGTCAACCATCGGTTCTATTGTCCCTCTTCCAGCCTTTCAAAGCGCCCTCTTTCACTATTTGTTTAACCCCTCCCACCGCTCCTGCCTGCCACCCGCCCATCAGATCACAGTAGAACAGGTGGCAGCAGAGGGGGATGACTGGGAGGAAGAGGAGGAGGAGGAGGGGGAGTGGCCCTTGCAGGCTCTGTGTGAACAACTGCTCACAGACATGTTTCACCCAGGTAATGATTGCTGTGTCATTCAGGTTAAAAAGGTGAAGTTTCGTTCAGTCAAATGTCACCCTTTCGTTTTGATGAATGCTGATGCTCCATCAGCGGTGGGAATCACGCGGACCTGTTTCTTTGCACCACTACCTGTATTTTTGTCTGAATGTTCTTCTTCCTTCCTTTACTTCGTTTGTTCATGCAGTGTGGGAGGTACGTCACGGCAGTATTCTTGCCCTCAGGGAGGTTATGTCTGCGCATGGGAACAGCGCTGCAGTTTGCCGCCCAATAGTTCTTTCTAAGTGGGCCAGTGCCAGTGGGGCTGAGGAGGTAGAAGATGGGAAGGGGAAGATGGAGCTGGAAGTGGTGAAGGAGGAGGATGATGGCAAGACTGTACCAGAAATGAGAGAGCTGGACGTGGCTTTGGTCAAGGCGCCGGTGGTGAGGTCGGAAACGGAGGAAGAAGGGGTTAACAAGGAAACTGAGGGAGTGCATCATTGGGGTATCAGAAAAGAAGAACGCGGGGAGGGGGAAGGACTGGAGGATGTGAAGCAGGAAGTAAAAGAAGAGGAGTTTGTGAGTAAGCCATTGGTAGCTGTGAAGAGGGAAATTGAGGCGGAGACTTATCCAAAGGCAGAGGTGAAAGAGGAGGCGAAAGGTGAAGAGGACGGTATGAAAACGAGAGCAAAGGAGGAAGTGAAAGTAGAGGTTGAGATGGGAGTAATCGAGGGGCGACTGGAGGGAGTCAAGAGGGAGGCGAAGGCAGAGACGAAGGGAGGGAGTGGTGGCTGGCTAGGCCTCTCTATGGGCTCTGAGACGCCTAAAGAAAGCAATGGAGAGTCCGCATCTGGGGGCAAGCTTGCTGCTACTGCTGGGGTGTGTGTGAAGGAGGAGGCAGGAGAAGGGGGCGGGAAGGGGGAGGAGGATAACCGAGCTGAACGATCTGGATTTGACTTGAACGAGTTGCTGGTCTGTAAAGTGGAGGCCACTGAAGCGAGTGTGGTGAATCGAGAGGGCGTCATTAACCAAAATTCTGGAGGGAGGGCGCGTATGGGCTTGGACTTACATCTTTCTGATGGCATGCAATCAGAAGAGATGGGAGAGGGTTCGGTACGAAATTTGGAGAATGAAGGGAGTATTGAGGGGAGTAAGGTAGAAGCCAGCACGGTTAGGAGTGAAGAGAAGAGCAAGCGTGAGGAAAGTGAGAAAGCTGTGGGAAAGGGGTTGGATTTGAACATGGAAGTTTCCGAGGAAGCAAATGAGGGGAAACCTGTGGATGAGGGGGAAGTGGCAGAGGAGAAGAATGGAGAAGAGAAGGAGAGTGCGCTGGTGGTAGCACAACCTGTGAGGGCGGCGGAGAGAGGTGCAATGCCGACAATGGAATCTGCAAGGAAGGCACAGTTAGCTATAGAAGCTGCCAGGAAGGCACAGGCGGATAATGAGCTGTTTTTGGAGGACTGTGCCATTCGGCTGCTGTGCATCTTCGCTTTGGACAGGCGAGTCATTCAAAAATGCTGTACATGTCAAATCTTAACCTATTTCGGTGTATGCCTACCTGCTCTTTTGGATATTATCCCTATACAGGTTTATGTACTGTTTTCTCCTATTCATCTCCCCTTTTACCCCGGGTCCCCTCTGTGCCTTTAGGTTGGAAGACTTTGTGTCGGACCAGGTGGTGGCACCAGTGCGGGAGGCGTGTGGACAGGCGCTGGGAGTGGTGCTCAAATACCTGCCCTCCAGGGCCGTTGCCCGCACACTTGATGTGCTGCTGCAAATGCAGGTATGCACGGGAGAATGTAGTCCCACACACACACAGTATCAACACTGTCTCTATTTCAGATGCTCACAGTATGCCTTCCTCCACTGCTGTCTGTTAGACATGCCACAGAGTGGGAGGTTCTGCATAGAGGCGTGCCAGGCGTCAATTATCTCAAAGCTTTGACCTCCTCGAGACCTGAATGCTGACTCGCTTGGAGTGGGAGGTCAGCACCGAGTGGCCACCTTCAGTTGCAAGGGTGATCCTTCCCGTTCCTCATTCAGGGAGCTTACTATGGAGCCCCTCCCATCCCCCATTTACAGAACCGATCAGAGTGGGAAGTGCGGCACGGTGCCCTGCTTGGCATCAAGTATCTTATAGCAGTGCGCCAGGAGCTACTGCCCTCCCTGCTGCCCTCGCTCCTCCCTGCCTGCATCCGCGCGCTGCAAGACTCAGATGATGATGTGAGAGCTGTGGCAGCAGAGGCGCTGCTGCCAGCTGCTAAGACTGTGGGGGAGGGCGTGGACGAAAGTGATTTGAGGCAGCTGATGCGGCTGCTGTGGGGTATTCTATCAGAACTAGATGACCTCAGTCCGTCCACTAGCAGGTGAGCAAATGGATTGGGTGAAACTTCCAGTTTCTTCTTAAGAAGGTGAATTACTGCTTTACTGCTCAATTAGCTTCTGCAACTCCTGACGTAGTCTGATGCTGGTGGGTGTATGAAATCCAGCTATCAGACGTTTTGGGTTCATGTGTTTTACTCGCTGTCTGGGGACAGTATCATATGCTCATATGCATGTGCCGTGGTTGTTGCATGCACTTGTTCCCCTCTCACAGTGTCATGACCCTCCTTGCTGCGCTACATGCCCTTCCTCGAGTTGCTGCCCTCTGGTCCGTTTCTCCATCTGTTGGTGCTTCTGCTGATGCTAAGCCTGCTGCTGCTGCTGCTGGTATGCCTGTTGCTGTGTCTGTTGGTGGAGAAGCGGAGGGCGATGAGGAGTTGGGGGAAGATGATGACCTCGACGACAAGGAAGAGGAGGAAAATCTAGCTTTAGATGGGAGCCAACCAAAGCACAACAAAGATGCTGCTGCCGGTGCTGCTGCTGTCGGTGCTGGAAGGGACTCTTTGCCGCCCTTAGTGGTTCTCGTCCGTCGATTATGGCCGTTGATGCGTCACACTATCTCAGCTGTCCGACTTGCTGCTGTTTCTACTCTCGTGAGTCACCGTGCTTGTCAGTTACATTCTTCCCCCTCGTTTCATTCCCGGCAGTATGCTTTGCTTTCTCTTTTCCCCTCCTTGCACTTTGTGTCTTCTTCCCCTCGTTCATTGGGATTCTGTTCCAACCTCTTTTCCCCCTCCTCCCTCCGTCACACTCTCTTATGTTGGGGCGGGACAGGAGAGGCTCCTCCAATCCAATGGCACCTCGTCAGCAGATTCCAGCTCAGCATCACCCTGGGTGGCTGACGTGTTACAGGACGCCCTGGCATGTATTCTCCGCAATCTGATTCTGGAGACCCACCCCACGGCTCTTGCTGTCTCCCGCCGTGTCTGGCCTCTGCTCTTGCGACAGGTACTGTGTTTTTTACAAGTTCTCTCTCGTTCCTGTACAGGGTTCCAGTTGCCTTTGGCACACCTTATAAATCACCTCAGATTGTTTCGGCTGACGTTGACTGTTTCAATCAAGCTCATATTTATATTTTCACAACAGGCAACTCAGTTTACCCTCGTCCCCACCACGTCATTCCTCCCATCGCCTACCTCAGGTACCCCCCTCCAGGGTTGCATCCCTCACTCGCCCCTTCATTCACCACTGGTGCCAGCTCATCGCCACACCGCCTGGTGGCTCCCTTAACACCTCCCTCCTCTTTGCCACATCGTCACCGGCAGCTCAAGGGACAGCCGGCAGAGGCATGGGGACTGAGGGACGGGGGAGGGGAAGGGGTAGAGGGGGAAGGGGAAAGGGCAAGGGGAAAGAATCAGAAGGTGTGGGAAGCTCTGCCGCTACTGGGAGTGCGATGGGGAGCGGTGGTAATGGGGTGGTGGTGGTAGGGGCGGATGGGGAGAGTGCAGCTGTGCGTATGAGAGTGGACACAAGTCAAGCCATGGGGCTGCTGCTCTCCTTCTGGCCTGTTGACCAACTAGAAGGCGGAGTAGCCCCGTTGATATCCCTTCTGGGGTCCGTGGCTGCCACACAGAAGCAGGTTGGTGCTTTGATCGTTGCTGCTTGGTTCAGGGAGCTTGAGAGACGGGAGGTGGGGGAATTGAAGGAGGATAAATCGGACAGGCAGGAAGCATTGCAAAAGCCGAATCAACAGCAGCAGCATGCGTTTGCCTTTGGCTCTCTCCCGGGTCTCTCTTTGGTACGACCATCTCCCCCTGTTGCAAAACTGCTGACCCATTTGATGGCTCTCCTCTCTTCTCCTGATGCTGGCCAAAGCTACGAAGAGCTCTCACGAACCTACAACAAGCTCCGAGCCGAAGCTAGTGCTTTGATCAGCCATGCCAAAGCTGTAGGGTTAGCACCAGACATGATTAGTTCGGCGCTTACACGAGCCGGCTGTGTTGGCTCGGCAGTTGCTCTAGATAGCAGTACAGCAGGAGAAGCGAGAGGAACGGTCGGAACGAAAGGAGCAGTTGTGGAAGGACGAGGAAGGGAGGAGACTCAATTTGACAGACTGAGTCCTGAGGGCGCTTTAGAACTGGCAGGGGCTTTGGCTGGGCTGGCTGGGACAGAGACAGGGGAGGTGGAGAACAGGGATGCACCTGGTGGTGTGGCTGGTGTAGTTGGGGGAGGGAGAGGGGAAGGAGTTGGAAGGGGAAGGGGAAGAGGAAGAGGCAGGGGAAGGGGAGGGAGTGAGGGAGGGAGAGGGGCTGAGAGGAAACAGGAGCCGCAGCAACAGCAAGGCATGGGTGATTTGATGGAAGGCTGTAGGCGGAGATTGCTCTCTACTGCCACATACCTTAAAACTGTTCAGGTGTGTGCAATGGCATACGTGTGTGCCTGCTTGTGCATGTATGCATGTGCGTCAATGTATTTGGGGGAAGGTGGGATGTCTATTTCGGAGCGAAGTGCAGGCATTTCTAGGGGTCCTTCTCTACCCTTTTCCACCACCTCATCGCCTACTCTCTCTCTTGCTCCATCCCAGCTTGCATGCACGCAGTGATGATAGCCTTCCTTCACTGGTGCCCTTCGCCTCTGCCTCCTCTGCTCTTCCCTGTCCCTGTTTCACCTCGTCTTCCCTTCCCCAGGCCAACATGCACACATCCGTCACAGCAACAGTGGCGGCAGCAGCAGTGCGAGTTGCCCCAAGTTTGCCTACCAAGCTGAACCCCATCATACAACCACTCATGGCCGCACTCAAACGAGAAAGGGTGAGTGGTAACTCCAGGTGCCTATTATTGAAATTTAAATCACTCAACTCATAGGTGGCTCTGTGCTCACTTCTATTCGTCTCATGCCTAACCCTTTCCCACCCACTCCACCCTCCCTCCCCTATCAGGAGGAGCTTCTGCAGCAGTGTGTAGCGAGCGGCCTCGCAACCGTGATTCTGCGCTCCTTGGACCGGCGCCCTTCCCCCAACGACAGGCTTCTCAAGAATCTATCTACACTCGCCTGCTCCGACCCCTCTCAGTGCCCACCACCCTCTGATGCCAATTGGGAGGCGGATGACCCCCTGGATCCCACCCTCGCCATGCCTGCTGCAGCTGGAGCCGGGGGACCGGCTTCAAAAGTAGCAGCTGGTGTGATTGTAAAAGGGGAAGGGGTAGCAGGGTCGCTGGAAGCCATGATTGGCCGCAGAGGAGCCGAGCTGTCTTTTAGAGCGTTGGCGGACAGCCTTGGCCCAGACCTATTTACAAAGCTGCCGAAGCTGTGGGGTCTCCTCACTGAGGTCTGGAAGCCCAGAGAGTCAGAGGGAGGTGGTAGCACAGGGAAGTGCGATGAGGGAGAACTGTTCAAAGCAGATCCACTGGCACTAGTCATCGCCTTTCAACTCATTCGGTGCCTAGCCCTTGTCCTCCACACGTCCCTAATTCCTCAACTGCTCCTCCTCCTTCCACCAGTTCTCTGTTGCACTCGCCATCCCCATGCTGCTGTCCGATTCGCCTCAGCCCAGTGCCTTGCAGCACTTGTGTCTCTTCCGTCCGCAGAGCAAACTGTTCTCTCCGCCATTCTCACTCATGTCATTCCTCAGCTCACCAACACACTCTCCGAACCTGCCCGTCGCGGTGCAGCAAGTGTTGTTTCCTCGTTAGTCAACACCCAAGGCGAGATGCTAGCACCATACGCTGCACTCCTAGTCGTTCCCCTCCTAGCTCGGATGTCCGACCCTAGTCCACAGGTGCGGCAGCTGGTCACACAGAGCTTTGCCAGGCTCGTACCTCTACTGCCGCTGGCTCGAGGGCTGCCTTTACCAGCGTTTCTGGACAAGGAAGGTGCGAGGAAGGCCCGGGAGGATGCCCGGTTCCTGGAGCAGCTTTTGGATAATCGCAAGGCGGATGATTACCAGCTGCAAGTGAAGCTGTCGGTAACCCTGAGAAGGTGCGTGCAATGTAAAGGTGGACGCATTAGTTTTTGAAAACACTGAACCAGTACAGAAGCTTATTCTTCATCAAACTGTGTAGAGTTGAACACACGTTCACACCCTCTTCTACTCCTCTCATGCATTCTCACATCTCATTCTCCTCACACCCCTCCCCACACATACACACTCCCCCTTGCACCGAGCAGGTATCAGCAGGAGGGCGTGAACTGGTTGGCGTTTCTGCGCCGATTCCACCTGCATGGGGTGCTGTGCGACGACATGGGGCTGGGCAAGACCCTCCAGGCCTCCTCCATGCTCGCCTCAGACACAATCGAGCGCCAAGCTGCTGCCCGTGCAGCTGCTAGCGGGGCGACTACTGCTGGTGATCGTGCTGCACCTGGTGCTTCTGGATTCGGAGTTGCGTCACCGCCTCTCCTCCCGTCTCTCATCGTTTGCCCACCCACGCTTGTCGCTCACTGGGTCTACGAGATCGAGAAGTACATTCCTCCTGGGATATTCTTCCCACTGCAGTACGCAGGCAGCGTTGCCGACCGGCAAAGGATGCGGGGGCAGCTGAGAAAGCACAACCTGGTGGTAACCTCGTACGAGGTGTTACGAAGCGACATCGATGAGCTGGCAGCGATCACGTGGCGGTACTGTGTGCTGGACGAGGGGCATCTGATCAAGGGCGCCAAGACTCGGCTGTCGCAGGCGGTGAGGCGGATCAAGGCGGAGCATCGGCTGCTGCTGACAGGCACTCCCATTCAGAACAACGTCCTGGAGCTGTGGGCGCTCTTTGACTTCCTCATGCCAGGATTCCTAGGGACTGAGAAACAGGTACGCCTGCTTGCCTTGTAGGCAGTGGAAAGTGATGGATGCAGCTAAGCTTGTGTTATTGCTGAGATGGAAAATACACAACCTGCTTGATTGAAAATACCTTAACTGACTTTCACTGTGCATTTTATCCACCATGATTTCTTCCCTTTTATTGTCGCTCTTCCCCGCCCTCCACAACACACATGCACACCAGTTCCAGGCGCGGTATGGCAAGCCTCTACAGGCTGCACGAGACCCCAAGTGCACTGCCAAGCAAGCAGAGGCAGGCGCTCTGGCCATGGAGGCCCTTCACCGCCAGGTCAGTCCTGCCCTTGCACTTCTCACTCCGTTCTTGGAAAGAAGGGGTTTGAAGGATGGAAAAATCAAAGTGATAGAGAGTTGAAGAGCATGTGTTGCCATGTGGTTATAGTCATGCAGGGTCGTGTGCGACCAGCCTTTGTTTGCCCATCATGCCAAGTTCCTCCACAACCCTCCGTTTCCTTTCTTCCTCTATGCCAGGTGATGCCATTCATTCTGCGCCGCACCAAAGAGCAGGTGCTCTCAGACCTGCCGCCCAAAATCATCACCGACAGATACTGCCAGCTCAGCACGCTGCAGCGACTACTGTACGCTGACTTCTCAAAGTCCCATGCGTCAGAGGAGGTGGTGACAGCAGTAACGGCGGCAGGCGGGGGAGCAGAGGGAGGGGGCGGGGAGCAAGCTTCAACCCATGTGTTCCAAGCGCTGCAGTATCTGAGGAAGCTGTGCAGCCATCCGTTACTGGTGCTGGACCCCTCCCATCCCCGCCACGCAGCTGCTCTCGCAGCAGTAGGGGCCACGGGGGCAGCAGCAGAAGCCGGGCAGAGAGGAGGCAGCAGCAGTGGTGCTAGCAGCAGTGGAGGGGATGGTGTTGGGGACGTACATGACATAGTGCACGCACCCAAGTTGGTTGCTCTGAGAGATATTCTGCTGGAGTGTGGGATAGGAGGAGGGGGGGAGGGTAAGAGTGGAGGGGATGTGGGAGGTGAGGCCAGCGAGGGCAATCACCGTGTGCTCGTGTTCGCCCAGCTTAAGGTGAGTCCACTGAGGCTCACTTGTTTTGTATTCGTCGATGGTACGAAAAAAGTGAATGTATCTGGATGGGATAGATTGAGGCTTCATGTTCCTGACTAATGTTTGACCCTGTGAATGCTGTGGACGTCTACAGGTATCCTTGTCAAATCAAATTCCCTTCCGGGTGTCTACTTGCCCCCATCCCCCTTACAGTCATTCCTTGATATTGTGGAGGAGGACCTCTTCAAGAAACACATGCCTGGGTAAGCGGTGATTGCCCATGGTGGTTGTCAACTGTAATACCCCTATTCATAATCACTTCTGGATTACCTTCAAATCTGGGATTTACATACCCCCCCCCTATTCGTCCATCTTCTTTATACCTTCCACTAGCACCTGCATTTCTGTTGAACATATCTCTGAATTCCAACCCCCCTCCCACATCTACGCTCCCCTCCCTGCAGTGTGTCCTATCTGCGCATTGACGGGTCGGTGGAGCCATCGCGGCGCTTTGACCTGGTCAAGGCCTTCAACTCGGACCCAACGATCGATGTGCTGCTCCTCACAACCCACGGTATGAGCTGTTTCTGGTTTAACGCTAGTAAATTTTGGAAGTAGCGAGGCATGTTTCTGATGTCAAGTCCACCAGGAGCATTGGTCTGTTACTCTATTGCATCCGTTTCTTTCCTTGTATTCTCGCCCAATAGCAGCATGTGGTGGATGCTATTGAAATGTGCCACATGATAACAAAACAGTCATACCCTTCTTGTCAAAAAAGTTGTCATTCTCCCCTTTCTCACTCCACCCTCTAAGTGCTGTTATCTCCCCCCTGCCCCTCTTTACTCTCCACCAAATCCCTCATCACGCACTTCTTTCCTCTTCTCTCATTCATTTGCTCGTTTCGTCCCCTTACAGTTGGTGGCTTGGGGCTGAACCTAACAGCAGCGGACACAGTGGTGTTCCTGGAGCATGACTGGAACCCAATGCGGGATCTGCAGGTATGTGATGGTAACCGCCTTGCTATCACAAATCTGATCAGAGTAGATGTTGGAAACTAGCAACTCATTCGTTAAATGAGATGATGGCGTCACCTGCAGCAGACACAGTGGTGTAAACACATTGGACTTATTTCATTGCGTTTGTTCCACATATGGTGGTGACGATGCATGCACCCTCGATATGCAAGAACATGTGGCCTGTGTTCACAATCATCATTCTCTTACTTTCTCTGCCCCCTCTTCCCCTTACTCTTTCCCTTCCCTCCAGGCCATGGATCGAGCCCATCGCCTGGGGCAGAGGCGGACGGTGAACGTGCACAGAGTGATAATGGCGGGCACGCTGGAGGAGAAGGTCATGGGGCTGCAGCGCTTCAAGCTCTCCATAGCCAACGCCGTGGTCAATGCTGACAATGCCAGTCTCAAATCGATGGACACATCGCAGCTCTTAGACCTCTTTAACGCTGGCCCTCCTGCTGCCAGTGCTGGTGCTAAGGTAAGTGTCATTGATAGCATTGGTCTGGTAGGTGTCTTTGTGGTGGTGCATCATGGTCGTTGGGTTAGGCACAGTGTCTGAAAGTTTTTGGCTTGCTGCACGGTGCTGCTCTTTGCTCTTTACTGACATGTCAAAACAAGTAATGTGCTGAATATCACGTTCCCACCTTGCCCTTCCTGTGACCGTGTTCTTGGCCCAGCAGAAACCAGCAGACTCATCTTCAGATGCAGCTGTGGCAGCAGCTGGAGGAGGGAAGGGACTGAAAGCTGTGCTTACTGGCTTGGAAGATCTCTGGGATGAGTCGCAGTACGCAGAGGAGTACAACCTGGATAACTTCCTGAAACGCATTTAGGTAGTGTAGAACTTATTGACTGTTGAGAGTGTCACAGTAATAAGGGTACATTCCGCTGTAGAATATGTCCCAATCGATGTGTCCCAGTCGATTGAGACGCGTATGTACAGCATATGCTGCCAGGTGTCGGAATGCCGGGCCGCCAGTGGTTGTCGCCGAACGTATTTATCATTGGGTGACGTGATTCACGGAACATTCGCCAGCTAATTGCAACACACCCCATCGTTCGCACGCGGTGCCAAATGTCATCACATGCAGCATGTATCTGGACAACATTTTGCGTAACCCGCCATCCCCATCAACGCGTACACAGCGTTGTGATTGGAGCAGACGAAACAACCGGAATTATTGACAGGGACGCGCACGCCCGCTGTTAGCGCGCCTTCCCCCAGTTCCGGTGCTCATCCCCCACAACTCCACCACCTCCCAATCCCTTACTAGGTCATTCTTGAACACCATCTTTGAAGTTCCAATCTGTTCATTACTCTCAGCATCCGCTCCCTCTAGATCTAGATCGTGAAACCCTCTAGCTGCCAGCATGGCTCGTAAGCGTAAGGGGCAGGCCCTTAACGACTGCCCCAAGGATCTGAACGACATTCCGTACATCCGCTGGATGAACCAGCAGATTGCCAACGGGCGCCATCCTAGGGGATTATCCGCGCCGCCCGTGATTGACGGCCAGGGATCCAGTGCACAGTCGCCCACAGCGGCCCCGACACGTGTGCGCCGTCAGCGTGCAAGGACGGCAGCAACGCACCGGCCTGTCGTGGAGCAAGATGATGACGATGCTGATGACGACGACCGCGATGATGGCCTCGACTCTGACGACGAGGAGAAGGAGCCGGAAGACGACGGAATGTCGCCAAGCGATGACGACGACGGCGATGAGGATGCCGAGGAGGACGCGCCGGAGGAAGCACAGCCTGTCGCTCAGCCGCCGAAACGGAGCGCCGCACGCGCACCGGGTACTGAAAAAGGCAAAGGCAAGGCGACGCAAACTGCAGCACGCCCGGAGCCGCGGAATAAGCGGGCGGTAGCACCAGTCGAGCGGGGCTTATGGTCTGACAAGGAGAGCACCATTTCGCCGCGGCGAAATGGTTCTTGAAAGATGAACTCGAGCCTCTCAAGGGGAAGCAGGGGACGCAATACTGGGCCCGGCTGCTCGCTCACATCAAGGAGTCCAACCCTGGATGGTGCAGGGGAGTCAACGCTCTGCAGAAGAAGTGGCGTAACTTGACGCTCCTTTGGCGGGAGTACAAGCGTGCCGACGGGGGGTCGGGCAACGGCTCGGTGGAGAAACCACCGTGGTATCCATACCTGGAACTGCACATCCAAGACACCGCCGCAGCCGCGCCGCACGCGGTGGACGGAGGCGGCGCGACTAACGTCAACGTGCCTGCCGGCATGGAGGTTCCAAGTTCGTCACAGCCAGGCATGTCAACACCATGCTTTACGGGTGAGTCGTGCTCCTCTTCCACGTTGTAAGGTTCGCATGTTTGTTTTTTTAGTTGTAGTTTTAAGTAGAACATATAATTATCTGAGCAGATATGCACGATACATCAAACCCGTCAGCACGGACTAATCGACCCTAACATCTTCCCCGCTCCTCTGTCACAGCTCCTCCGCCGACGACCACCGCAACACCTAGGCGCGCCCGGGTGCATGAGACGACTACCATGCAAGCGGCCATGCTCGTCTCCGCCACCATCAAGGACTGCCACGGTGATGCGATGACTCGCATTGAGGGCCTCGTCCGTGAATGGATGGCGCAGGACATGCGACTTGCACGCGAGCGCATGACTGAATCGGCTCCCCCGGATGTCTTCCGTGCACCGCCGGATTTCACCCCTCCTCCGCCACGCGGGGAGTCCGCGCCACCTCCCGAAGCCGCACAGCCGCGAGAAGACGTGGGCGACGTCAACAAGGAAACTCCGGGTGATGAGGATGTGGAGATATGGGTGCGCGGCGTCGACGATTAGCGTAAGAATCCTGGAGTGCCTCACCCAGTCTTTTCCGCCTCTCCCTCAATGCCTGTTGTGTTGGGGGAACACACGGTTCCCACTTGTGTGTCGCAATAGCACCCCGCGTCCACCAAGGATCTCGGTTGCGGGGTAGGTTCTCCCAGGCCATGTTTTTCCGCCTTACCGCTTGCATCTCTTCACACATGTTGTGCAGGATCACACAACACGCCGCCCCTGCGAGAATGCGCCACAGCCTGCAGTCGTTGTGCTGGGCGAAGATGCGCCATCTCCCTTTGAAGGCGCCGATGCACCTCTCCACCGCCATGCGTGTGGCGCTCTGACAATAGTTGAAACATTGAGCCCAGTCGTCCATTAGGTCCTCTCCGCGGGGGGCATGCAGGGGGGTTAGGCAGTATTCTCGTAGCGGGTAGGCCGCGTCACCAACAATCTAGTATGGGGCTATGTCCCCGTTGTGTAACCTCTCAAGTAGTGCAGAATCTTTGAAAACCTGCATGTCGTGCGCGCTGCCGGGATATCCGATCAGGTAGTCCCATATTCTGCCTCGTGCATCACACGTGAGCTGGAGTTGTACGGCATAGGCCGACTTCCTTGTCCAGTACTCCGCTCTGTGCCTTTCCATCCCTTTCATGTGGATGTGAGTGTCGTCCACAGCCCCCACCACTGCAGGTACACCTTTGATGGCTGCAAATTCGCGCGCCATCTCGGGAAGCTCTTCGCGTGTGGGGAAGCGCACCCAGGCGGCCTTGAAGACGGAGGGGAACTCGGTGAGGAACACGTCGACAAGCTCGTGGCAGAGTGTCTTGGAGACACCGAACAGGTACGACATGTCGACGTAGGAAATCCCTGACGCAAGGTACTTCATAGGGATGAGCACCGCGGTGTCCAGTGTGAGTATTGACCGATGAACGATGGGCTCTAGATAGTGTTGCATTCCATTCTTGACATGCTCAAGAATGGCGCGGTTTATCCTGAAAAGGTCATGGAAATCGTTTTCTCTCATGTGCTGCAGGTCTTCAACCCACAAAGCATGACGTCGCCGCCGTACTCTCACTCTGTGACGGCGGTTCTCCCCGTAATCGTCCCCGAGCGATGAGGACTGCTCGTCCGTGTCCTCAAATACTCCAGACTCTATCAGGCCTACGAAGGACTTCGCGGCATTTTCATAGAAAATGGTGTAGTAGTAGGTGACCCAGGCGACGAGGAGGCGTAGGATGAAGGGGATGGCTCTTGGCTCTGCCATAGTGCGTGGATTATGGATGCTGAGTTATGTTATCTGTGCGTTGTGGGATTATAGAAACTAACGGCCCTGGACTGGAGTAGGGAATGTACTCCTCGTTTTGGCAATTATTGGCAGCGCGGATGTGTACTGTATCCTCCGCGGCCTCCCCGTGCAATACCAACTCTCTTCCGCGGGTCTGGAGGCGCCGGTGTTTGTGTTCCATTCCATGAGTAGAAGTGTGCCAGAATGTTCTCTGACCAATCACGGTGGGTCTTATGTGGGGCGTACAAATGTGTCAGAGTGAATCCATGTTCCAGTGGAGTCAAGGATGTTGGAATATGGTATTGAAACTAACCTTCTTGTTGGCCTAATATGAAATTATTCGTGCTGTAAGTGCAATTTCAGGGTTTCCGTAACTGTGTCGAGTGTTTCGTGGCTTACCACCAGCCTACTATCAGGCGAACCATTCCGCCTCTCCAATCTTTCCCCCAGCCGTTCCGCTCTGCCTGCGCCCGTCCCATTCGGGAGCTGCACACTATTCGGCCTTCCTCCCGTCGCCTTTCCCCCTGCGCTGCACGCCCTGAAAGCCTTCTCCCTGCTCTTTAGTCTCCCCTTTCCCTACTCAGCCTCCTTTTCCCTCCCCCCTTCCGCTAATTCCACACTTAGTCTCGGAGCGCCCTCAGGGCTTACGTCAGCATGAAGACGATCTTAGCGTCCGAGACGATGGACATTCCTAAGGACGTGAAGCTGGAGATTAAGGCGAAGAAGGTCCGCGTGACTGGGCCACGTGGCAAGCTGTTTAGGGACTTCCGTCACCTGAACCTCGATTTCCAAATCGTCGAGGACGGGACGAAGCTTAAGGTCGATGCGTGGTTCGGCACGCGCAAGACGATGGCGTCGATTAGAACGGCCATCAGCCACGTGCAGAATCTGATCAAGGGCGTGACGGTGGGCTTCAAGTACAAGATGCGCCTCGTGTACGCTCATTTCCCCATCAACTCGAGCATCAGCGGCTCCGCCGACAGCATCGAGATCCGAAACTTCCTGGGCGAGAAGAAGGTGAGCCGCGGCCGGGTTATCAGGCGCGGGAAAACGGGAGCCGCAAAGAGCGACGTGCAATTGGCGGGAAAAGGAGCTCAATGGATTCTGGAAGGCCATGATCCGTCGGCACGCGCTTCCCCCTGTTTCCCCTTCTCTCACATGTTCACCCGCATGCCATTTTCCAGTAGCGATACCTTTTCTGCGCTCTTGCGCGCTTTTGCCATAAAGTCCCGCCTCTCCGTCCCCACAGTGATTCTTTGCGCGCGTGCCCTGTCAGTGATAAATACTCCTCAGCTTGCTTTGGATCGAAAGACCTAGTTCGATCAATGCGGGTCAGGGAGCTAGTGACGTTGTGCTGCCGCATTGCTAGCCGCGGGTTCTTCTCGGAACAGCCCTCGCAGGCGTCAGTCGTATCGTTTAGAGACCAACCGGGCTTTCGATTGTGCCCTTTCCCGCCAGCTCGCCGAGAGAGATTCATCAATGCCCCCCCACGTCACTTTAGATGGACACAACAGTATCGGGGAGGTCCGATCGTCGTCTATGGGGCGCCGCGCCATGCAGCTGACGAATTGGGCGAAGCATTCTGGCTCTCGCACAGGTACTCCAAGCATCGCTTTCCGAAGAACCGCTTTTCCCCTAGATTCTTTCAAAAGGAGACAGGCAGGTGCTTTTTGTCCTGGTCGCGCGGCGTGTGGTGGTGTGAGCTTCAGGGACGTCGCGCTGTAGCTAGGTGGCAAGGTCAGGTCTTTTGCGTCGCGCCGCAAGCGAGAACGAAGCTGCTTGGTTCGCATAAGCCGCGCGCTGGTGGAGAGTATGACGACTGCGATCGACGCAGCAATGGGGCACGCGAGGGGCTTTGCAACGGCGGCCGGCGAAGGAAGATGTAGCTTTAGCAGACCTAGCTTTAGCGGACGAAGGTACAATCGATTTATTGCGCGACGTGTTTCGGGGAGCGGAATGGATGTATCGGTGCGACGGTGGGCCTGGGTAAGGCGAGAATAGTCAGGTTTGGAAGAGCAGGCGTGGGAGAAAGCAGGCCTGAGAACGCGCAGGTATTCGGGCTGGTTTGAGGGGCTGCCACGCGAGGGAACGGCAATTTTTGAAAGTGTAGCAGGACTTGAAGAGTTAGCTCGAGCCAGTGCAGTCTGTAGTGACGCGGCTTGTGGTGGGGAGCTTTTAGTGTGTTGACGGAGCTTGTAGTGGTAAAGTCCCGGACGGAGTCTTTAATGGGACGGGAAGGCGGGACTGAGCATGGCTCCGATCCGCTATGTTGGCGCTTAAGTCGGTATTCAAGGCGCGGTTTAAGGCGCGGCTTAAGACGCGCAGCTGCATGGTGCGAGGCTGAGCTGTCTGAACTCCACGTGCGCAGCGGCAAGGCGATGGTGCAGCTGCGTGCCGCCATCCATCCTCACAGGCTCCACAGGGCCGCAACCCGGATTTTATCCGCATTAGCGTTGATAATTTGTGTCGTGGATGTGCGCTGCCTGGTCTCAGATTGAGGCGCTTTTTGGGCCAAGGTGAAGGACCCTAAGGGATTCGGTCTCACAGCTCCTTGAAACCCTCTGCGTTCGCCTTCCTCCCCCTCCCCTCCCCCTCCCCCTCCCCGTCGCCTCCACCTCCACCTTCCCAGTCACTCGCGCAATCTCCGGAGTGGCATGCAAACGATACGCGCCAGGTGCTCTAGGCGGCGATGCTGTAGGGAGTGGCTGTCGCCTGCTGTTGGGTGCGCGCTTGTGCTGACGTTTCTCTTATCCCCTCACCCCTCTTGTTCTTACCGTCACTTTTTCCCCCGTCCCCCCTCTCCTCCCCCGTCCCCCGTCCCCCATACCTCTCCCCCCGGGTGCGCGCGCAGGTGCGCAAGGTGGCGATGCTGGAGGGCGTGACGATAACGCGGTCGGAGAAGGTGAAGGACGAGCTCATCCTCGAGGGCAACGACATCGAGCTCGTCTCGCGCTCCGCCGCGCTCATCAACCAGGTCAGCCCTCCCCCTCCCCGCGCGCATCAACCAGGTCAGCCCTCCGCCGCGCTCATCAACCAGGTCAGCCCTCCCCTTCCCCGCGCGCATCAACCAGGTCAGCCCTCCCCTTCCCCGCGCGCATCAACCTGGTCAGCCCTCTCCGTCGCTCCGTTGTGTCGCGCGCATCGACCATGCCAGCCCCGCGTTGCCGCATTGACCCTGGTCAGCCAGCACCACCCCTCGTCCCTCCCGCACCATCTCATGGGGCGCGGCGATGCGACAGGGAAGGGCGTGCAGAACGCCTCTGCCTTTCTACAAAATGCGCTTGCAACTCTCTCCTCTTGTCGCCGCTATCAGCGGTTAGGGTTTCATGCACTGCCATCCACCTCTCACCACCCCATCCGTCGAGTGCACGGGAGGGTTCCAGATTGCTGAATTGCCACGACTCAGAGCGGACTGTCACCCATACCTGGCTGCGAACCATCACCAGTCCCACATAAGCACGCCGCGTTTTGTTTTAAAATGGGTAGAGCCTTCGTGGTTCCATCGCTCTGCGGATGCTCCCTGTTGTCGAGTCTTGCCATTCGGATCCCCCATCAGTCAGGGCGCGGAAGTAGGGGTCCCTGTCAGGATTCCTGGTTTGGTGAATCTGTACCACTTGATGCCGGCCTTTCTCACTGGTGCGCACATGAACAACCAAGGGCAGGCGAAAGCTCTTGTAGAAAATCGATTTGCAGATTCACTGACCGCTTGCTGCCACTTGCTCTCCTCTCCCCTCAGGTGTGGCATGTGGGAAACAATGACTTCCAATTGGTAGTCCTGAGTCTGAGAGGTCAACCCATTTGAGCTGTTGTGTTGTTGCTGCCGTGCTCCCCCCGGGTGCAGGTGTGCCATGTGAAGAAGAAGGACATTCGGAAGTTCCTGGATGGCATCTACGTGAGCGAGAAGGGCAACGTTGTGGAGGAGGCCTGAGAAATGGCTCTGCTGTGCCGCATGGCCAGTGCTCTCCCTCGTGGGTGCTTGTTTTGTTTCACCCGATCCCTTGATGCAATGCAATGGAAGCCTTGGTCGCCAATGTTCCAGTGTTCACTGTATGAAAGCTTTAAATATGAAGTGCCAATATACAGGGGTTGGGTTGGTGCATTCATGCCACACTAATTACCTAGAGAACAGGTGCTTGACAAGTTGACACAGGTGCAATCATGGCACCTGTTGTCAACCCACGGCACTCAAGTTGACAAGTTACCGGTTTCATATGTCCGCACCACAATATCCAGTATCCACACTCATCAGTATGCCACAGCTGGTTACCAGTACCGGCACTTCATGTATCGACAGAGTAAAATAGGTCGCCAGAGAGCTTATATCTGAAGACATGGCTGGTGCTTTTGTGTACCTTCATAGATATAAATGACTCAGGTAGCAATTCGATTTCCCACAGTTGGAGCAATTCAACTGACAATGTATCGAAGGTTCGTCTTGAATCTAAGGTAGTGCTTGACAGCTATGCTAACATCAGAACATGGATGTCCTTCAGCCGGGGATAGATAAGCTTCTCACAGCCTCTGAAGCTTAGTGGACAGGGTTTCTGTAGCGGATGACGTGTTATTCCCTACCTGCTGATCGCCGTTCGATCGTGTGATCAATCCACGCTGGATTGGCTATCGACGAATGTTAGCCCATTTGTGCCAGTGGCCGAAGTGCTGTGCGCCGCGTCCCGCGGTTCTGCCATCCATGATTTCTCCACTCCATGGGGATCAGTCGCTCACGCGGAGAGGAGACACTTCCTTTCCTTCCTCCCTTACCCCCTTTTCCCCATTTCTCTGCTCTCTTGTCTCTGTCAGACCAAGACACCTTCGATTCCTTGGGTATTCTCCGTCACTCCAATATTCCTTCCTTCCTTCGTTATTCACCAGGGCGACGATCGAATCAAGCGTCGGAAGCATTTTCGTCTAGCCGAGCGCGATGGCGTCTGCTCGCATCGCCGTGCTGACGGCGGTGTTTTCGCGGAAGCTGAGCGCGCAGGTGGACAAGGCGGTGTCGTGCGACGTGCGCGACGCTCTGCTCGTCGACGCGCGCGTCCATGAGCAGGCAGCGCCGGACGACGCTGCCGCGTGCTCATCGCGAGCGCTGCACGTGAGCTCCAAAGCGGTGGCTCACCCTCGCGTGGTTCTGCCGCGGCCGTCGTCGTCCCTTGCGGCGGTCTGCAAGACGGACTCTCGCGCCATCGTGGCCACTCTTGGAACTCCCGCCGCCGGCGGCATGCGCGAGGCGCACCACGCCTTGCCGGCGAATGGAGCCGCTCACTTACCTCCCCCCAACGGCGTCGCGCCTCTCTCGCACGATTCAAGCGGCGCGTCGAGCAGGTTAGATCAGCGCGCGCGGTGGACGAAGCGGAAGAGCCGGCAGACGCCGCGGCAGGCGGCGTGGACGGCGGAGCAGGTGCGCGAGAGGGAGCGGCGGATCGTGGAGGAGGTGGCGCGCGTGTCGGAGGGGCGGAGCGTGGCGGCCGTGCTGGACGCGTGGGCGGGGCGCACGACGCGCGTGGAGATGTCGAGCGTTGTGAAGGAGCTCGGCGCGCAGCGCAAGGCGCGGCGGTCGCTGGAGGTGTTCGAGTGGATGGACGCACAGCGCGGGCGGATGCGGCCCAACGGGCACACGTACACGCTCATGCTCGGCATCCTCGGCAGGTACGCCCGCGTCGCACCGCTGCCACGTCACAGATCTGCTCAGTACGCCGTGAGCAACCGTTTGGTCGCGCGAGGAAAGCGATGGCGGTGGCGCGGTTGGCGGGCACGGGCCTCCGCGCAGTGGTAGGGCGGCGGTAGACCGCGCGGAGCTCTCGCTATCGCCGGTGGTGGAGCTGCGGGCATGAAACCTCCGCGGGGCACACCGCACGCAGGTGAGTTGCGCGGTCTTGCGGGATGCGGGTTTGCTGGTTAAAGGCAGACGTGGGCAGCATCACGCGCGCGTCTTGTGAAGGAATGAACCTAAGAGCTGAACGCGCGTAGATCTCAATGCGAGACTGACGCTGCTGAAAGGCAATCGCGGAGCAGTGAAAGTGTGATGCGAACGTGCGTGAAAAGGACCCTTGACGCGTGTACGCGCATGGCGTATCGTCATCACTCGTCTCCCCCCGCCCGCCCACGCACTCCTTCCCTTTCCCCCTCTCCCGCACTTCCCCCCACCCGCTTTCCCCTTGGTTGCATGCGGGGCGGCAGGGCGGGCATGGTGGAGGAGGCGGAGGTGCTGTTCGCGCGGTTCCGCGCGGCGGCGTTCCGCGACAAGGTGCACGGCTTCAACGCCATGCTGCACGCCTGGCTCTCGCACGGCCACCCGCAACGCGCCTGGACGCTCTTCCACCTCATGCAGCAGCAGCAGCAGCAGCAGCAGCAGCAGCAGCAGCAGCAGCAGCAGCAGCAACAAGAATTGGCCGCCAATGGCGGTGCCAGCGGGTCCGTCCCCACCGCCGGTCCCCTCGACTCCTCACCCCGCAAGCCCCCCACCCACGTCGCGTCAGATGCGTCCCCGCCTCCCGTCCCTCCCACTTCCCACTCGTCCTCTGCCCCATCCGCCGCCCGCGCCACCCCCGACCACTCGTCGCAGCCGTCGCAAGCGCCTGCTGCGCGCAGCGACGGCCGCGGCGACGGTGACGGCGATGGGGCCGGTGCGGCGAGCTGGGGTCCGCCGCCGGCGCCGGACGCGGTGACGTACAACACGATGCTGAGCGCGGGGCTGGCGGGCGCTGGCACGGCGGGCAGGGGGAGGGCCAAGGGGCGGGGGAGAGGCAAAGGCGCAGGCAGCAGGGGGGGAGGGGCCAGCAGCGGCGGAAGTGGCAGCAGCGCAGGGCGGCAGGCGCTGGCGCTGTACGGCGAAATGAAGGCGAGCGGCGTGCGGCCCACGGCGCGCACGTTCAACATCCTGGTCGCGCTGCTCGGCCACCACGGGCTCGTCGCCCAGGTGAGCCTCGTCGCCCAGGTGAGCCTCGTCGCCCAGGTGAGCCTCGTCGCCCAGGTGAGCCGCGTCGCCCAGGTGAGCCTCGTCGCCCAGACGGCCGCCCCTTGCTCGTTTCACTCACTCGCTTCCCTCCCCGCGCCCTGGCTCTTCGCACCCCTCTCCCTCCCCCCCACGCCCTTGCCCCTCACCACCCCTCATCCCTGTGCTTGCGTTCCTGCTGGCTCTTCCTTGCCTGCTCACGCTGTTTCATGTGTGGTGCGCTGCGGTGTGGTGTGGTGTGGTGTGGTGGTGTGGTGTGGTGTGGTGTGGTGTGGGGCAGGCGGAGGGGGTGGTGGCGGAGATGAGGAGGGAGGGGGTGGAGGCGGATGCGCACACAGTGAGCGCGGTGATGACCATGTACACGCGCGCGGACCGCCCTGACGACGCCATCCGGGTATGCAGACGCCGTGCCATGCCCACCGCTCACACCGCACCTGCTCACTCCCCACGCTGCTCATTCACAACCCACCACGCTCACTCACACCCCCCGCGCCCACACCCCACGCCATCCGGGTACGCCCTTGGCTTGCCATGCCTAGCGCCCACACCCAACGCGCCCACACCCAACGCGCCCACACCCAACGCGCCCACACCCAACGCGCCCACACCCAATGCGCCCACACCCAACGCGCCCACACCCCACGCACCCACACCCAACGCGCCCACACCCAACGCGCCCACACCCAACGCGCCCACACCCCACGCGCCCACACCCAACGCGCCCACACCCAACGCACCCAGCCCATGCTCCGCCTCATGCTCGCGGCGCTGCTTGTGCACTGGTGTGCGTGCAACAGTAGCTTGTGTGGTGGTGAAGGGAGGGGCCAGTGCTGGCAGGGAGGAAGAGCACGGACCCACTGCTGCTTCACCTGCCACCATGCACCCATGCCCATCGCTCTCAACCGCCTTCACCTTGTCCCTCGCTCACTGTCACTTGATTCAACCCCCCTACCCATGCCCTTCTCCCTCGGCTCCACCACCCCTCCCTACTGCCTGCATCGGGGCAGACGTACGAGAGGGCGGGGGCAGCGGGGGTGCGGCCCTCACAGGCCATGTTCACGGCGCTCATGGCGGCGCTCACAGCCGCCGGCCGCCCCGCAGACGCCGCCGCCGCCTTTGACGCCATGCTGCAGGCGGGCCTCACTGCTGACGTGGCGGCGTGCGGGGCGCTGCTGAGGGCGCTGGCGGAGGCGGGGGAGGCGGAGCGGGCGGATGCGGAGCTGCAGGCCATGCCGGCGCGGCACGGCGTGCAGCCCAACGCCATCGCGTACTCCGCTGTCGTCATGGCCTACGGCAGGTGCGTGCCGCACCCATGAGTCGCCTCCATATGGCACCTCTGTATCCCCCCCCCCCCCTTTGCCTACGCCTTAGCAGCCATACCACCCTCTCCCAGGTGCTGCCATCGCGCCTCCACTGCCTTGTTCTGCTTCACGCCTTTCCGCCTGTGGCTGAGAGCGCCTCACACGGTAGCCTCACAGGTGAGAGGGGTTGTGCTCAGCAGGTACGGCTGCAGGCTCAAGGCACGGCGTCCACCCACAGGGCGCCTGGCAGCTACCAGTGCACTGATGGGCCTCACTTAACGCTGTTCTATCTGGTGTGTGTGTATGGCTGGTGTGCTTGCAGGCAGGGCATGTGGGAGGAGGCGGCACGGGTGTTTGAGGGGATGCTGAGTGCGGGGTGTGAGGCGGACCTGCAGGCGTTCAACATCCTCATGGCGGCCTACGGCCTGCAGGGCCTCTCCCTGCCCGCCGCGCAGCTCTTCCGGCGCCTGCAGGCGCACGGGCTGCGCCCCGACGCCGTGACGTACAACACGCTCATCCACGCCCTCTCCAAGGCCGGCCTGCCCGGCGCGGCCCTGCGTGCGCTGGAGCACATGCGGCAGGGCGGGTGCGAGCCCGACCACGTGACGCGCTGCCTGGTGGCGCGCATCCTCCACGAGGCCGGTCGCCACACCGACGCCGAACACATGCTGCGCCCGCCCCCCCCACCCCTTGCTGTGCCCTCGCAGCGGTAGCTCTGCATGCATGCACGCTCAAACGTGTTCTGGCCAATGGCAGTTGTGCCAGTGACAAGGCGGGCTGAGTAACACTTGGTTTATTTGAATGGAACTTACAGTACCTACGGTACCTTATTGAGCTGACAACCATAATGGTACATGTCAGTCAACAAGGTTGGAAGCACCCACACAACAAGCCCTTATTTGTCCTAGCTGGCAGAACTGGTTTGGTGCCTAACATTCCCCATCAGTATGATATGATCTCGATTGTAGAAGAAACCCTCATAAAACTCATAAAATGCACCCTTATAAGTTCTGAACTCATAAAATGCACCCTCCCACTCTCTTGCAAGCATGGTAATAGGTCCCGTAATACCTCGGATAAAAGTCCCCCTCTCCCTTAAAGACCTTGTCTGTTATGAGTTGTAAAAGAGAGTGCGCAGGTAAACGAATAACGAGACTGTGATTAACTGATCTGAGAATACAATGAAGGCACAGACTAATGTAGGGGCTAGCCTAGCTAGGAGGAAACCTCGGACGAGCGAGGTTGGGGTGCAGGTTTGGCGATGGGAAATGCCGAAGGCGGCGCGAGGAGCCTCCGCAGCGTTGAAATCGGCCGAACGTGCAAACTTCGAAAATCGGGCTGTACGCGTAGCAGTCAACCCCGATAAGGAATTCGGGAAAATTCCTTACACTACCCCCCCCCTTAAGAAAGGCGGTCAATATCCGAAACACGTTTGCGCGCCAAGTAATCACGAACAAGTGACGAGGCGTCGAGCGAGTCAGAATGCACCCACGTGTCATCTTCACTGGTGCGGTCAGTCCAACGGATGAGGAAGTCCACGTGGCGACCAGCTGCGTCAAGGCGAACCCGATGTGCCAGAATCTTCGAAGGGTCGAGAGAGAGTCGGCTCCGGGATAGGTCGTGCAGTTGGGGCAGCTTGTTGCCGCGCGATGTCGGTCGTGGCTGGCACGAACTTGCGAAGCAGGCTGACGTGGAAGGCGTCATGAATTCGCCAGTCGTCGGGTAGCAGCAGCTTCGCGGTGACAGGTGTCACCATCTTGATAATCTTGAAAGGCCCACAAAATCGTGGCCGTAATTTCGACGGGCCGGGCAGGTGCAGGTTCTTCATGTCTAGTAGCACGAGTTGCCCAGTAGTCAAGACGAGTTCCCGGCGTAGAAGGTCGGTGTATTTGCGGGAAGTGATAATCGCTTTGCGAATTGCGTCGGCGGCTTTTTCCCGGACTTCCTGAAGTTCCGTCACAAAAGTTTGTGATCTCGGGACCGGGTTGTTGAGGGAAGTCGCTGTAGGAACCGTCGGGTCCATCCCGTAATTCAGGAAAAACGGGGAGTGATTAGTCGTGCTGGATGGTGCGTTGTTGAAAGCGAATTCCAACATGGCAAGAGATTCTTCCCAGCGGGCAGGGTCGGGGCAGTTTGTCCTGATCAGCTGCTCCATGGTCTGATTGGTCCGCTCGGTCTGGCCGTCCGTCTGTGGGTGGTAAGCCGATGAGAACTGTAGTTTCGTGCCGTACTACGCCCACGTCTCCTTCCAGAATTTTGATGTAAACTTCGGGTCGCGGTCGCTGATGATCGCTGAGGGGATTCCGTGCAGTCGCACCACTGTTGAGATGAAGAGGCGCGCAGTTCCTTCGGCTGTGATTGTTGTTCGGCATGGGGCGAAGTGCGCCATTTTCGTGAAGCGATCGACGACGACGAGTACAGCGTCGTTGCCGGACGGCCCAGCTGGCATCCCCGTGACAAAATCCATTGTCACTTGTTGCCACGGTCGTTCGGGTGGCTCGAGGGGTTGCAGCAGCCCAGCTGGTCGTTGACGTGTCGATTTCATGGCTTGGCACACCCAGCATGAGGACACATATCGCTGCACGTCGTTAGAGGAATCAGGCCAATAATATTGACGATGCAGTAATTTCTGGGTTTTATCAACCCCGAAGTGTCCGGAGAAGTTCGAATCGTGGACCTCCTGGATAAGGAGTTCACGCAGCAGCCTGTAAGCGGGAACCCAAATCCGGTCGGTCCCGGCTTTTAGGTAATAATCCCCTTTCTGCGTCGTGGCCTGCTGGTGGTTCCCAGTCGTGAAGAACGGGCCCGTAGTGTAGCCGTGGGTGGGTGAATAGCCCAGTAAATAACGGGTTCGAATGGGTGATGAGTACTGCAGCGGATTGTACTGTCGGTCGGGTCAGGGCGTCGGCGATATTATTCGCCCCTTTCTTGTACGTGATGCGGTAGGTGAAGTGGCTCTCCATGTAGTCCAGCCACCGAATCTGTCGTGGGTTGAGGTTGGGTTGGGCTCGCAGGTACTGTAGGGATTTGTGGTCCGTGCGAACAGCGACGTCGGCGCCCACCAGGTAGCATCGCCATAATTTAAACGAGTGGATGATGGCGAGCATCTCCTTGTTGTGGATCGGGTAGTTGCGTTCGGCTGCCTGCAGCTTGCGTGATTCGTAGGCAATCGGCTGCAACCCGTTCCCGAAATCTTGGAGAAGCACAGCTCCGACGGCGAAATCTGAGGTGTCGGTGACAACTTCGAATGGCTTCGATGGATCGGCGATGCGCAGCACAGGAGGGGAAACTAGAAAATTCTTGAGTTCCTGGAAAGCCGCTTTTGCCTCTTCCCCCCACACAAAATTTCTGTCCTTGTGCAGCAGGTCGGTCAGCGGGCCGGTTATCCCCGCCATATTCGGGATAAACCGCCTGACGTAATTCACGAATCCCAGAAAACTCTGAAGTTCCGTGACATTCGTCGGGGACTTCCACTCTTGTATGGTCTTGATTTTCGCCGGGTCGATTTTAATGCCTTCGCGTGAGATGACGTGCCCCAAAAACTCCAACTCCTGCTTAAAAAACTCGCACTTAGAGCCCTTGGTGATGAGTCTGTTCTCCTGCAGCCGCTTAAACACTGCATCCAGGTCGCGGAGGTGTTGTTCCCTTGTCTTGCTAAAGATCAGGATATCGTCCAAGTAGACGATGACACAATGGTCTAGAAGATCCCGAAAAACCCTGTTCATGGTCAGTTGGAATGTCGAAGGCGCGTTCGTGAGGCCGAAAGGCATCACTGTAAATTCGTAACTCCGGTAGCGTGTGCGAAACGCAGTCTTGTGACAGTCGTCGGCGAAGACTCGAATCTGGTGGTAACCGCTACGTAAGTCAATCTTCGAAAAATAGCGAGCGCCGCAAAGTTGGTCGAGGAGGTCGTCGGTGCGTGGGATTGGGTAGCGAGACTTGATGGTGACCCGGTTCAGCGCGCGATAGTCGATGCACATGCGAAGCCCGCCGTCTTTCTTCGGAGTGAACAGGATCGGTGCTGCGAAGGGAGATGTGCTGGCCCGAATGAACCCTTTCTCCAACAGTGCGTCAATTTGACTTCGCAGCTCCTCGAGTTCCGGCTGGGTCAACCGCCACTGTGTCCGAACAGTCGGCTGCGCGCCAGGTTCCAGCTGGATTTTGTGGTCCTCAGGTCTCTCGGGTGGCAGTCCAGGTGGCAGATCGTCGGGGAAAATGTCAGGGTACCTCCGAATCAGCTCCGCTACATCCGGTGGTACAGCTGCACACAGCTTCTCGATGTCCTTTCCGTCGGTGTCAACCGCCAACTCGCGTAAGCAAACAGCGAACAGCTACGCGCCCTTGTTGAAGTGGCGAGCTATAGTGATGGCTTTGACGCACGGGGCTTGGATGTAGTCAGGTGTCCATGCAGGCAGCCTAATTAGCCCCTCGTGCTTGTTGATGCTGCACGATCCCGTTGTCCAGTCGATGACGGGGTTGTGCCATCGCAGCCAATCACGTCCCAGCAGCACGTCGCAGCCGTCTAGTGTTGTCGCGAGAAACTTCATGCTGAAGCCGAAATCGTCGCCGCATTCGATCCTGACCGTTCGTGTTTCTTCCGTTATCGCCAGAGGCGTCCCATCCACGAGGCGAGCATCGATTTCGGGAAGACACCTCAAGTTGCAGCTTGCATTTTTTTGCGCTCGCCAAATTGAAGAGGCTATGGCTGGCCCCTCCATCGACGAACATTTTCAAGTTATTTTTTAACACCTTGCCAGTGACCAGCACAGGGTGATCCACATGTGTATCCCTGTTATTCGGCCGAGTGCAATCGATTGCATGAATCGGAACCACGACTCGGTGGGGATGGTGGGGTTCGGGCGACGGAGCACAGTCAGTAAAGGGCCCGCTAATTACTGACTCTTCCCATTTCCCTGCTCCTTCCTGTCGTTCCCCGTCAGCGGCGTTTTCTCGTGGCAGTCTTTCATGTAGTGACCCGTCTTCCCACACCGGTAACACGGTCCCTTAGGAGGGCGGTCGGGTGTATGGACGGCGTTGATTGTGGCCCGATGGGTCTGGCCACGAAAACGGTTTACATCCCTGGAAGCCGTTCTCGCGTACTGCATCAGCGCATCCGTTGACTCCGCCAACCGTACTGCTTCAAGGAATGATGTCGGGCGGCCCCTGCGAACCTCGTACTGTATCTCGTATTTGAGGCCGCTGATATATTTATCCAACCGCTCTGCTTCCGACATGTCATCCACTTGGTCAGCGAGGCCCATAAATGACGCCGTGTAGTCTTGGACAGAAGCCATCTACGACCATGCACGCAGCTTCATGCGAGCTTGCTCCGAGGCGGATACGTGCTCGAAGCGATCTCGTAAGGCTGCGCCCCACTCCTTCCACGTGCGTATCGTGGTCACTCCGAAGATCGATTCCGCCACTTGATTAGTCACTGTTGAGGTCCCGTCTGCCGCATGCGTCACACCTGTCGGCGTCCCCGTTTCCAAGGTTCGGCACCACCATTCAAGCGCTGCACCTCGAAGAAGTGAAAGCGCGTAATTAATACGCGTGGCGTCGTCATTAACTCCTGCTGTAGTGAAGAAGACCTCGACTCCGAACAGCCACCCTTTTACTGTAACCGTCTTGTCCGTAGGATTAAACGGGGGCGGGTTGACGGGTTTGATCTTGATCGTCGTTACTGCAACTGGCGTTGCTGCCGCTCGCTGCCTAT